AATAGGCCACCTTTAGAGAACTCTGCCGAGGAAGCAAGTGCCCCAAAAGGCCTGGCGGACAAGGTGGAGAGTCTTGAAAGGGAGGCCTTAGATCAAGGGCAAACAACCAGCGAATTGGAGCGTACTCAAAGGCAGGTAGTGGAGGATGCAAAGGCCCCAAAAGGCCTGGCAAACGAAGCTGCCGCGCCGGAGGGGAAAGCTCCAATATCACAGACAGGGGATGAAAAAGACACACCCAAGAGGCCAGCATCTAAGAATGAGAGGCCTCAAAGGTTGAGGTCTAGATCAAGACTGCCTGTGGAAAAAAGAGCCAGGAAATCCCTAGGAGCCTCAGCTAAGAAACTGAGGGAGGCTGAAAGGCCTAGAAACTACGCAAAGGTTGCACAAGGACAGTTGGTCGCGGTAGTTCCTGTCGACTACCCGCAGATCCAGCTTACTTATGATCAATGCGATGATCTTAAAGAAGCAATCGCCAGTAAAATTGACGAACTTACAATAGGGGAAGACATTCATCCAAAGTTCGACAAAGCGCTTTTTAAGCTCGGAGGATATCTTGTATCCTGCCTAGATAGCCATACTGTGGAATGGTTCAAAAACATAACACCGAGCATCACAATCAAGGAAGGCCTAACCCTACGAGCTTGTGAGGCAGGTGATTTAACTAAAATCATCAGGATTGGAGCCTTCTTTCCAGGAAAAGCCCTACCTGATGATTATTACTTAAACCGGCTCCAGATTCAAAGCCAGTCTATTACTGGAATCAACACCTGGACCGTGTTTAACTTCAAGGCTCTCAAGTTGAGCATAATCCACAATTTTCAGGAAAAATTCTCTGGACAGATGAAGCTACCTTTACAAGAAAAGGTATCTTCAATAAGAAGAATAATTAACTCTGGTCGCAGGAACATCTCCATGGAATTCATGAGCATCATTTTCAGCACCAGTTTCAGTGTGGTTAGGAATAATAGACAATATTTTAATAGAACCGCAATTCTTGGTGCCTCGACTCAATGGGGGCACATTAATGGAATTTCTTAATAATGATTACTATGATTTAGTTGAACATATTCTACTACAACTGAGAAAGGACATGCGGCTTCAATTAGATGGTTGCCATGCACATTACTGAAGAGGTCCACGACTATAGCTAAACATTAATTATCCCAATCAATGGATTGACCGTGCAGTACCAGGATGTAATACATTATCTAATATATATCTATACTAATAATATATCTAATATTTATAATACATTATTATTATAGATACTCTCAACAGCCGATGGTTGAATAACTATTGAAAAAGGATATAGGAAGAAATTTCCAAATCGTGTCAGTTACCTCAATGGTAAACATATAGTAATTAGGTGCCCAGCTAATAGTGAAACTGAATACTTCAACTACAAGAAAGCATTCAGCATTGTCATTTTGTCCCAGAATCAGAAAAAAATGTGCCATAAATTTTCATATGTTCTGATGCTTTTGCACTGAGCACGCATGTAATGTACCCTTGTCCAGAGGAGCATGACATCAATTCATGTAAAAGGATTTTTCATCAGTTTTTAGCCCGATCCAAAGTATTTGTGGAAAATGTATTTGGCATTTTGACTTCTATATTTAGAATTGCTTGTCACTCAATTGAATAAAATACAGAATCTGTAGCAGAAATTACTATGTATATTCTTACATAATTTTCTTCTATAAAGTGAAACCACTACAGACAGATGTACTCTGCCTGGGACATTTGATAATAAAGCCTATTTAATAGCACCTGGTTCAAGAAGGAGAGAACCTTGTGAATATAATGTAATTCGAAAATTGCAACTGAAATTTGATCCCAAGGCAAACGAGTTTATCAATCCAACAAGCTTATTACAGTTCATTGAGACTGCATGAATTACACTCTAAACAGGAGTGATTTTAAATAAGGCGTAAAATAGGCCTACATGACAAGTAATTTTCCTGTCTTTCCGTTCAACCAATCTCTCAAGGCCTAAGAGAATGGCTTTCACTTCCCCCTCAAAGTTTGTGGCTAACTTTCCGACTGGGGCGGCAAGTTGAAACTTCTTTGAATAAACTCCAGCTCCGACATGTTTGCATGCTTCCAGTGCAGAACCATCAGTATATACATGGAACCATTCTGTTTCTGGGAATCGTTTTCCCATGGTTGAGACTGCATGAATTACACTCTAAACAGGAGTGATTTTAAATAAGGCGTAAAATAGGCCTACATGACAAGTAATTTTCCTGTCTTTCCGTTCAACCAATCTCTCAAGGCCTAAGAGAATGGCTTTCACTTCCCCCTCAAAGTTTGTGGCTATCTTTCCGACTGGGGTAACCCAAACCCGTACACAGTCGCCACGGAGTTCTTACAGCTGTACATAAATCTGTATATTCAGAATTAATTCCAATTAACACCCATCTTCAATCTGTTCCAGTCAGAGTTCACCACGGTTTGACCTTTTCAATTTGCCACAAGATCGTTCAATAGACCCCCAGAATCTCTTATATTTTTACAACCAACTTCTTCGTTCTGTTTTATTTTTTGGGGACCTAAACAACCATAATCCTCTATGGGGATCCCAAGACATTAACATGTGTGGTAAAATAATAGAACATTTTTTAGAAATCTCTAATCTTCTCCAACTCAATATCGGAGAGCAAACATGTCTCAACTCTAGTTACGGAACTAATTTAGCTCTCGACCTTTCGTTCTGCAATTCCACCTTTCACAACACTATAGATTAGACTGCTTTACCCGACAAATACAGTAGCGCACATTTCCCAATACTTATTAACTTGTAAATATTAACTCCACACACGGGAAGCCGAGATGGATACTAAACAGAGCAGATTGAGGTTTTTTTGCTTCCCTGGCCTCTCCACCTCAAACCACTCCTTCTGAAGTAAATATTGACAAAGGCTGTGAAACCACTACCAATACGATCGTACAAGCAGCTAAAGCATCAATACCGATGACTTCGGGTCTTCCAAGAAGACCGCTTGTTCCGTGGTTTAATCCATCAAAGTACGTCACAGAGCACATAAGAATTTTCAAAAATCTATCTCAGAAAATTTTATTGAATATAAAAAACAGTGGGCCACGTGTAGAAAACTGTTCAACCAGTGTAAAACAGAATCTTGGAAAAAATTTATAAGTTCCATAAATGCCTCTACAATGTCAGCTGAAGTTTGAAATAAAATCCATTAACTCACTAGAAATTCTCCATCCTAACATTGACACTATAAGAGTCAATGGACAATTGGCTGATAACCAGTAACTAATTTCAAACACATTCATGGATTTTTTTGATAAAATCTATAACTCTAAATAATAAACAAATAATACCTACCCTGATGAAACCGAATTTACAGTCACAATAAATGAAAATACCTTATCTTACAATCTTCCTTTTTCGATGTGGGAACTAAAATATATTCTAAATTCCGTCATAGGTACAACACCTGGTCCTCACAATATTTATTATGATATGATTAAAAATCTATCTCTCAACACACTTAATTGGTTCCTTAAATACTACAATCACGACTGGTCCACTGGACCCTTCCCAACCCAACTTCCTGGCTCAATTCTTAGGTTATTCCTATTCTAAAGAATAGAAAAGACAAGCGGCTCCCAGATAGCTACCGTCCTATATTCCTCACAAGCTGCTTAAGTAAAATAATGGGATGGATGGTAAATAAGAGATTGATGTGGATTATAGATAACAATAATTGAATGCAGTCATTTCAGTCTGGGTTTCGCAAGGGGCGATGCACAATAGACCATTTAGTTGCATTAGAGACTGAAACCCAGTATGCTTTATCAACAGACAACACGCGATTGCTGTTCAGGCGATAAGAAGAAAGCTTTTGACAGCATAAAGCATGATGTAATCTTAAAAAAGATATCAACTGTTGGAATAATAGGAAACATGTTCAACTATATTAAACAATTCCTTTCAAATTGGTACTTTAGAGTTAGGATAGGCTGCAAAACATCTAAGGAGCATAAGCAGATTAGTGCTTTCTCACAAGGCTGTGCCCTCAGTCCAACATTATTCTGCATCGCAATAAACTACATGGGATTCAATTTGCCTAGAGATGTCAAGCCTCTACTGTTCACAGATGATCTGTGGAACGAAGTTTCCTAGGGTCTTGTTATGTTCCAAACCATTCCGATGGTGAAATCCATTCCGTGAACCATTCCTTACTACTTGTAAAAATACTCTTCCAATATGTAAATGTCATAATTGAAAGTGAGCAACAACAATATTTTTATATAATTTAAAATTTGAACCTTTTAAAAGTTTTTTTTCTCAAAAACTGAAAAAATTGGAGCTACCTCCTTTTTGCAGCAAATCTTTCAATTCTTAAGAATTGGCTTCAAAGTTAAATCATAAACAAGTCTTCCTTGACCTGGGAAAAAAATAATTAAGTAATTCATGCCTTTTGGAGTTTGCGTAAGTCCATATGCCATGAAGTATTTCATAAATGAATATCAATTTTGTAATTTTCAAAATTTCCAGTCAGATTTCAGGGTTAGAACATATAAAAAATCTCATTTAGGTAATAATATTAGAGATAATTAGAATTTTGGGAAAAAATGAACCATATTTTTTAAGAAAGATGATAATGTTTAACGTGTTTGATTTCAAAGAAGTTTAAGAATAAAAAGTGTTTACGAAACATTTCAGATAAAGATGTATGAACTAAACCATCTCTTGAGCAACATTATATAAACCTTTGAGAAAAATATGAAATAAATTTTCATAATGAAAATTATTTAAATATTTTATGAAAAGCAGTTTGACTGTAAACTCCTCTAATTCTTTTCTAAAATTTTGAGATCTGATCTCTTATACATTTTTAGATTCTTTATCAACAATTAATAAGTACAAAAACAATACAACAATTAAATAACAATATAAATAAAATAACTAAGACTAAATTTTTGGTAACAATCACTAAAGACTTATAAGATGACCATTGAGTCACTTACCAAAATGTCTTTTTTAGTATGGTAAAATTTATAATTTTCTTCCATTAATTCTTTCCTTCAATGGAAAAATATTTATGCTGTTTACACAATATATATGATTGTTATTTTTATTTTCAACAGTGAAAAATAAACCCCTGTAACATGCATGATATACACCATAATAAATTCAGTAATAGAACTATATTTAACTCCTTAAAGTCTTAAAAATAAACTCTAAAAAGAATGATTACAAGATATGGCATCTTACAAGACTTTAGTAAGACACCATATGAATCCATACACTTTTATACAGTAAAGGTAAGAAAAATAAATTTACTTAAAACAAGAATTGTGATTATGTTTTTGATAATTAATGTAGTTCCTGGTTCCTGAAACATTCGAAAATGATTCATTTTTCTCATTTAAACATTATGGTTATCCTTTATAATAAATCTATTAAAGACAGTCATAGATTGTTGACAAAAACTGTGATGTCTAAAATAAATAAGAAGAATTACAAACTCACTGTGTTCAAGTGTATAACCTTTCTTCACCAACAATATCGCCAGGAATGCACAATGGGTTCAATTATCTAAAAAAATAAAATATAAATAAACAACAGAATTTTTCAACTAATGATAAACTGTAATTAAAAAAATGGCTTCAAAATACTTTGTAGTATTCTATGTATACTGAATAATTATTTTGTAAATTACAATAAGAATTTTCCTAATTCTTTGAACATAAAATTGAACAATTAATATTATATTTTGAAAGTAATTATTATCAAAATATCGACTATTAGAAAAATCGAGACAGCATTGAAAAATAATTTAAATGAGTCGGAACAGTCTAGACATGACTTGCAACTATATAAGGAAGAGGTTCCATAGTCGAGTGTTAGTTCATATTCAGTCAGCGCATAGCGAGTTCAATAAAACAAAAGTTTCTCACTGAGTCAAGTTCACGTCAATTCAAAGTTAATTCATAATGAAGAATGTTCTTGATAAACAAAATTAGTTACAAACATTTACCAGTGTAAAGGTTACATTATTTTGTTTATTTATCATCATCCAACTATACTACAGATATCCTACTTTAAGGAAAGCTTCTTGGCTTAATAAATTTTAAGTGTGTTTGTAATAAAGCTGAGATTTATTAGGGAAAAAATAAAGATTCACCTCAAGCTGTGTAAAACAATGATGTGATTTTTATCCTCTTAAGTAAAAGTACCCCCGTTTCCATAAAAAATGACAACAATTACTTGTTGCAAAGACTTTTTTATTGTTTTTCCATGATTTGGGATGTATTATAATAAACATAATTGCTTAAATACACTTTTTACCTTTAAAAAGAAAAATAATGATTTTTCATGTAAAGTGTTTATAAAACTTAGTTTTTCACCCAGATATATACTATAGGAATCTATGCGCACTTATAACTGACGAAATAAATATGTACATTTAAAATAAAGAAATCTACTGATTTTTTCAATTATTTTCATGAAAACGTTTAAATTAGGAATAGGAATATTTATTTTGACAGTTATTAATGCACATAGAATCCTATAATATAGATCTGGGTGAAAAAACTCAGTTTCATAAACCCTTTACAAGAAAGATATTTGAAAAGAGATTGTTTTTAATTTTTTTCTTTTTAAAAATAAATAGTATGTTTAAGCAATTTTTTTTTTTATAATATATTCCAAATCATGGGGAAAAAAAAGCTTTCAAATAATTGTAGTATTTTTTTATGGAAACAGGGGTACTTTTACTTGACAGGATAAAACATCACATCATTTTCTTACAACTACAACTTGAGGTTAATATCATTTTTTCCCTAATAAACCTAACATAATAATTAGAGACTTAAAGCTTATTAAACAAAAAAGTTTTCCTAAAATTAGAGTATCTTCAGTATAGCTGGATGATGATAAAAAAATATAGCGAATAATTTATGTTTTTTTTTTTAAAGTTAAATTAAATATTTTTTTAGTTGTTGCTTCCTATTCAACAAAAACCACAAAACTTTTCTACAATTCTGCTGCAAATTTGCCCATTGCTTGTTCTTAATATAGCTAGTCTGACCTACTGATTGTAGGTCTTGTGGGCTACTATCGCTCCTATAAAAATCTCCCTCTACTTACAGGACATCCTGTATGTATATTGATTGTTGGCTGTGATGACTCAGAATCTAGATTTTTTTTTTATTAGCCAAGGTGATAGACAAAATATATTTACAAGTTACTATTATTTTCTCTACTGGTGATAGCCAATTGACTAAAAAATAATATAAAAATACAAATCTTTAATTGGATTGTCAGATTGTACTAATCTCTTTTGTTGATACCCAATTAACATATTATTTGGATTATAAATTATTCTAGTTCTTTGATTTCTACTATAATTTTTTTCTACCATTATTTCACACTACAAAGCATTATCATAATCGATATTGGAAGATTTGGTGTTTCAAATAGAAATTGGGAGAAAAGCAGGACATAATAATAAAAATAAATGAATATGGAAATAAAAATTAATGAAAATAATGTCTAAACAGAAATACTTACAATCATGTACAATGAACAAGTGACGACTAGGACGAGATAGTAAATATCATCTTTAATTTCTGAAGGAGAAAAAAAAAATGAAAATAAAAACTCCTTAAGTTACGAATAATACATAAATAATTATGCATCACACGTAACTTCAGATTCACCCACAGAGTTCAACTCAGGATGCTTCCTCACTAAATGACTCTTGAGACTATCAGCACGAGTGGCCTTGTAGCCACAATGAGAACATTGATGAGGCTTCTCGTTGGTATGTTTGAACATAACGTGACCTCTTAGCTGACCAGATTGAGTAGCTCGATATTCACAATAGGTGCACTGATAAGGTTTCTCATTTGTGTGCTTAGCCATTATGTGTTTACGAAGAGAACCTGAAAGTGATGCTTTATGGTCACAGAACGGGCATTGGAATGGTTTTTCGGAACTATGCTTTGATCTTATATGTTTATTGATGTCACCACCTTGAGTTGCTCTGTAATCACAATGAGGACATTTATGAGGTTTTTCATTTGTATGCTTGGCCATTATGTGTGCTTTAAGTTGTCCAGTCATTACTGTTCTATATTCACAATGAGGGCATTGTTTGGGCTTCTCATTTGTATGTTTAAACATCATGTGTGATTTGAGTTGACTAGATTGTGTGGCCCTATAATCACATAATTTGCAATGATGTGGTTTTTCATTTGTGTGCTTGGCCATGATATGCGATTTGAGCTGGCCCCCCATAACGGTTCTGTAGTCACAGAATGGGCATTGTCGAGGCTTCTCATTAGTGTGCCTGAACATGATATGCGCCCTTAGCTGTCCAGGGTGTGGAGCTCTATACTCGCAATGAGGGCAAGGATGATTCTTCTCAGCTTTTTTTTTTTTCCTAGGCGGTTTCTTTTTTTCTACAGTAACATTTTCAGATGTTACAGGGTCTTTTGGATCTAATTTTAGGTCAGAGTCATTTTTTTTCTCGTCTGAAACAAAAGGATTGCTATCACAAAAGAGAAATTAGTATAGTCAATAAGCTAGAGATAAGACAAATATTAGTATTCATTATCTTAAAAAAATTATTAATACCTTCGTCAGCCACCAATTCTTGATGATGGGGATTTTCTACTATCCAAACATGACAGCTTTTGACAGCTGGAACATTGCATTACGTCAATATTAAAAATAATAATTAAGGACAATAAATGGATATTACACAATGTACAAATGACCATACAAGTCTCAGAACTATTGATTTCATCATCATCAATAATTTCTTCTTTGATTTTAATCCCTTCTGGTCTAATATGGTGACCTAGAAATCAGACAAAAATTAATTTAAAATAAATGGACTTGAACTCAGGATATTATTATTTCAACTAACATCAGTACTCTATTTATCCCTTAACAATTTAGGCAAATCCTGCTACAGTTGGTCTAGGATGTTAAACGATGTACTTATTTGTTGACAAATTTAATAATGGAAACTTAAAAATGGAATATTCTGACCTGCCTGTACTTATGTTTACATGTTATTTATGTTGTGATATTTTTATTATCAATAATAACTATCAATAAAATAGTTAAATAAAAATTTATATAAAGCCATAACTCTTTCATAACAACCTAGATAAAATAATAGCAAGGGGATGATTAGGGATGGTTCATTTAATCAGCCTTATAGTTAACATATAATAACGTATTGGTTTTCAATGAATGTTCTTTATATTCATTTATAATTTTTGAAACATTTGAAGAAAAGCTTTGACACCTGTTTAGTGTGAAATTATTTGAAATATTCATGAAAAGAACAGGAAATATCAGAAGGCCTTTTAGAATACATATAATTTACTAATTTAAGGATTCAAAAATGACTCTATAATGAATTTACAAACAATTTATTATTCATTTTATATCAAATAACAAAATTCTAAATGCCTGAACAAAGTTACATCAGATAAAAAATTTTCAAAAATAATTAAATGTTAAGTATAACATGAAAATCGATAATTATAATTAATCATAAGGATATATTAGAGGACATAACATGTTTTTTAATTTAAAGGATTAAACAAGGGAAATGATTCAGTAAACAATTCCAAGGACTTCATATGGAGAATAGAAGCCCTTAATTTTTTTGTTACTTGCATAATATCAGGTAGCGTACGACTGCTATCTGGCAATATTTATAACCTTAACACTGATAACTCTGATATAAGCCACTGATAATATCTTCATATTCATATTTATTGTCTTATATTCATATTATTATATCTTTGTATTCATACTTATTATATTGTATTGATATTGTGAACAAAAACAAAAACAAATGTAATCATAAAAAAATACTTTTATTTTACAAGATATATATTAAATAGACCAAAACATTGTACACATATAATTAAAAAACAATGACATATATAAAAATAAATGGAATAATAAAAATAGGCAAAAAAAGGGAGGTTATGTGAAATAAGATTAGATAACAAGGGAGGTTTTGACGCTACCCGCTATTATACAAGTACCATTTTTTTTATTAAACTCATCATTCAAAAATAATTTAATCAAACTTTTTTATTTTAATTTCATGATTGATTTAACCATCTTCTATTTTTACTCAACTAAGTGAAGCAAAAGCGAGTTATGTGTTCGAGTCATCTGCTAATAGCTATTTATCACTTTTTAGAGCGAACAGTTGGATTGATTTTTAAGTTTGATGGCTCAAATTATTCAGCGAAATTCTCTGAGTGTTTTGAAAATCTGAGCTAAAAATACTGATCCATGATTAAATAAAATGTGATAAATCAATTGCAAAAAGTTATACAACAATTTTTTAAGGAGACGGTTGGATCGATTTTTAAGTATGATATCCTAAATCCTTCAGTGATATCCCCTGAGTGTTTTAAAAGTGAAGCGACACAAGCGTTATGTGTTTGAGTTGTTCGCTAAAAGGTATGTAATGATTTTTTAAGCGAACTGATGGATTAATGTTTGATTTTGGTATCTCAAAATTTTCATTGAGATCCTGTTGTTTTGAAGTCCTATTGTTTTTGAGAGATTATTTTGAAATAATTAGAGCTCAAAACACTGACCTGTAATTGAATAAAATGTGTTTAATCAATTTGCTAAAAGGTGTGTAATGATTTTTCAATTGTATGGCTAGATCAAAATTGGGCTATTATAAAATTTTTTAAATGCATTTTTAGCTGAGCTAAAGCTAAATAATTACAGCTAACAAATCATAAATGCCATTAAGGTAACAAGAGCCCTATTTATTATATCACAGTTATTAAACTGTTATTTTCCATTGCAAAGTTTACTAAAACGGAATTAACAGATTTGCATCATCTGTCATAGACAGGCCAAAAGTTGTCACACTAATTGTAAGTGGATATTGTTGGAATATCACAAAAGGGAATTTCATCAAACTATTCACTAATTTATTTTTCCAAGAGGTTACATGATGATTTTCCGGAATAAACAGACGATAGATACCTAAATATTTAAATATAATATCAGATCTAAGGTTATTAAACTACAGTAAATATATTTAAGGCTATGAACGTATTATTGAAATAGTTATATATTTCACTTCTTCTTTCACATAACTACAATGAAATAGTAGTGGATACTGTTGGAATATCACAAAGAGAAGATTCATCAGATTATTTACTAATTTAATTTTCTAAAAAGTTACAAGACAATATTTTGGAATAAACGGACGTTGATACCTAATTATTTAAATATAATATCAGATCTATAATTATTAAACAACAGTAAATGTATTTAAGGTTATAAACATATGCTTTATACATCCTCGCGCGGGCTCATTACCGCTTATGGGGAGCGTCCCACGGGTGACGGATGTTGGGATGGTTGGTGGAAATTCCTTGGAAGTTCCTCCCGGCTAAGTCCGATGGACTCGCTGACCAACAATGAGAGGGGCCCTCCAGACTTGCTGGAGGGAGGGGACCTCCAGACTTGCTGGAGGTAGGAGCCCACCAGACTTGCTGGAGGGTGTGACGTAGGATTGAACGCCCTACTCACATATCTTTAGTTCACTAAACACCACAATAGTCATGGATCTCCCTAAGGTAAAACGCTCATTATCCGGAAGTAAACTAGTCCCCCGTTCGGGTCTCCGGGTGGGGACTGTTTTAGGGGATTCATCGCGCAAGTTGAAATATAGGGATTTAAATATTGGTACGTGGAACGTAAGGAGTTTAAACACAGCAGGAGGGCTAAAATCGGTCGCGAATGAGGTGAATGGGTACAATTTGGATGTCGTGGCTCTGCAAGAGGTTCGCTGGCCAGGGGAGGGTTCGATGAGGGAAGGAAAGTACACTATTTGGTACGGAGGAAGCGGGAATCATTGTTTGGGTACCGGGTTACTAATTAGGAGTAGAATACTATCCGCTTTGAGGGACGTACAATTCTTTGGTGATAGAATTTCGGTAGCTACATTTCAGGGACGCTGGTTTAAAATCGCATTAATAAACATACATTGTCCGACCGAAGACAGTGACGATGAAGTCAAAAGTGAATTTTACGATAAACTCGAATGGGTTTATGATAAACTACCGCGAAACTACATGAAAATAATTATAGGTGACGCGAACGCAAAGGTAGGAAGGGAAGAAGTTTATATTCCGACGATTGGTAAAGAAAGTTTGCACGAATATAGTAATGATAATGGGATCCGTCTGATAAACTTTGCCATCTCGAAAAACCTGATAATTAAAAGTACGACGTTTAAACATAAGGATATTCATAAATATACTTGGACATCACCGGATTCGCAAACACGAAATCAAATCGACCATGTCTTGATACAACATAGCTGGCAAAGCAGTATAATTAATGTACGGTCTTATCGCGGAGCAGAATGTGGGTCGGATCATGAATTAGTAATCGCGAAACTTCGACAAAAACTTAATATAAAAAAGAGAAAAGAAAACCGTTTCGATTTTGAGAATTTTAATTTGGACAAATTAAAAAATCCATCAATTAGAACCCAATTCGAGCTAGATGTTAAGAATAGGTTTGAAGCTTTAGAGCTTCCTGACGAGGACCACGAGGATATTGACAAGTTATGGGTAGAGATCAGGGATAATATTAAAGCGGTCGGTAACTCGTGTCTAGGAAAAAAGGAAAATAAGAATAACAAACCGTGGTTTGATGAAGATTGCTTAAACATGTGCGAAAAACGAAAAGCCGCTAAATTAAAAGCTCTAAATAATCCTAGCGAAGACAATCTGGAATACTTCCGAACCTCAAAGAACGAAACGACAAAATTGCTCAAAAATAAAAAAAGGGAGTATCTTAAAAATAAAATAATTGAAATAGAAACTAATAGAATCGAAAATAACGTAAGAGACATGTACAAAGGTATAAACAGATCACGTAAATGTGTAGGGTCCGTAACATCTGGAATTAGGGATGATAATAACAATATTCTGACCGATCCGGTTGACATATTGAATAAATTTAAGGACCACTTTGACAATATTTTAAATACAGGAAATTATGATCTGTGTCCTCCTTCTGAGTACCAGAGTGCTGAACCGTTGCAGGACCGAGTAAAGAGGAAGTTGAATTAGCTATCGGAAAATTAAAATCTTATAAAGCAGCGGGAATCGACAATATTCCCACTGAACTAATTAAGGCATGCGGGGAAGCTGGAGTTTCTAAAATACATCGGTTGGTTAAAAAGATCTGGGTGAATGAGAAATTACCCGACGAATGGAAAGAATCTATTCTTATTCCGATTCACAAAAAGGGTCCGAGGACGGATTGTAATAACTATCGAGGCATTTCACACCTTCTGGTATGTTATAAAATATTTACATTAATCTTAACCAGTCGAATCACGGAATACGACGAGGAAATTATCGGAGACTACCAATGCCGATTTAGACGGAATCGTTCGACTATTGATCAAATATTTTCTTTACGGCAAATATTAGAGAAAAAATTGGAGTACAACGGTATTGTTCACCAGATGTATATAGATTTTAAAAAGGCTTACGATTCTATTGACCGCCAGAAACTGTATAATATTCTAATCGAGCAGGGGATTCCTAAAAAATTAGTAAATATAGTCAGGATGTGCTTGACGGAGACACTCAATAAAGTTAGAATCGGTAATAATCTGTCCGAAAAATTTGGGCTATGCAGATGATCTGGTACTGTTAAGCGAAGACTTTGAAACTATAAAACTAAATACGACAACGTTAATGAAAGCCGGTAAAGAACTAGGACTCGAAATAAACGTGGATAAAACAAAATATATGGTTAGCTGCAAAAATGGCGATACTACTGGTGATATCGATATAGATGGTAATATGTTTGAACAGGTAGATAAGTTTAGGTATCTAGGTTCTACGATAACTAGAAAAAACAAAATACAAGAAGAAATTAAGATTAGACTGAAGGTGGGAAATGCTTGTTATTTTTCTGTGACAACACTACTTAGTTCGCGCCTCTTGTCCCGAAACATAAAAATTAGAATCTATAAAACAATTATCTTGCCTACAGTTCTTTATGGGTGCGAAACTTGGCCCCTTACATTAAGGGATGAGCAGCGTCTTAAGGTTTTTGAAAATAAAGTATTGTGTAGAATATTCGGACCGAAGAAGGATGAGTCAACCGAGAGTTCAGATGGTTACACAACGCCGAATTGCGTGAACTGTATCCGAGTAATATAATTGAGATAATTTCATCGCGGCGAATCAAATGGACTTGTAAAGTTGTTGGACTTAGTAACGAGAGAATTCCTAAAAGGCTAATATTTGCTGTGCCGAATGGTAAGCGTCCGAGGGGTAGACCGAAGCGAAGGTGGGAAGATTGCATTAAAGCCGATCTGAAGGGACTGGGTTTGGACGGCGATTGATGGAGGGAGGTGTGCAATAAGAGATTGGTGGTGTCGGCATCGAACCTTCGGGTTTGCTAAGCCTTTATATTATTATTTTATTATCCCTTCTGTCTAGTATTTCTGCAGATTCTTTTTCAACCTGGATAACCATTTTAATTTTTTTCTCCCTGATTCAACTTACAAATTCTTTCAAAAGTTATATGAACATTGGGCACTGCGCGAGCCCACACGCATAGTCAGATTATGGACTAAATATAACAAGCATGATTAAATAAAATGGCTTACTAGCCAAAAGGTAGCCGATGTAGATGTAAAAGTGAAATAAATGTGGTGAATTATTAAAAAAAAAACACAGCCTTATTTTATATACTTTAAAATACTTCACCTAAAACAAATAACACACAATTTTATCAATTTATTGATTATTGTTATCAATGAATTATAATTTAAATTACTTTAAAACAAAATTCTTACCAGAAGCTTTGTATATAACATAAATACAAATATAATTGGCACTTAAGAACATTAGAACTTTAAAACTGATTAGAGCCTGCTTCTTAAAGAATTCACTAGCTTAACATTCTTTAATAAATAATGGACAAACTTTATTATGGAACATAGATCAATAACTGACTCCAAGTATACAACTATTTCCTTAACTAATAGTGTACTATGCCTAGATTTTTCTCGATCCATCGAGAATAAAATGGAACTTCAATTCTATTTAGGTCATTTGAATAACTAACGCCATTTTAAAACTTTAGACATTTAATGTTATTATGATATTAAATTTAACAAATTATGAACATTTAATTATGAAACTTAAAATTAAATTTTATATCAAATTTACTATAATACTTGAAGGTGAAATTCGTTATCAGGACCCATTAAAAAATGGTTTTATCTAATTTGTTAATCTAAGGTAATGTAGAAATAATACTAAACATTTCAAGAGACTCATGATGCTGTGAAGCTTAAACCGAACTAGAATTAAGTTGTGTTAATATTATCAGCTTTGCTGAAAAAATTATTGTTTTCTTTTTTTTTTTCAAAACATTGCCATATCTACAGTTATAAAATAGTAAACCAGAACTAAATTTAACTTTTTACTAAAAAAAGAAAATTTACGTGTAATTTACCTGTTGAATTTTCTTCATCAGCTACACAAGAATCATCATAGAGGATGTCTTCCTGAAAATCTGAAAAAAAAAAAAATATATAGGAATATAATAAATATTTTGTGAATTTAAGAAATAAATATTTAGTGTTTCAAAAACATTTGATTAAACACGATACTGTTCAGAATACCGGTTTGAATAGCCAATTTAATTTAATCACACAATATTATAAAAATCTATAATTTTAATGTATAGTAATCAACAAAAGACACTACAAATTTAATTGTAGTATCAAAAATATGGCACCTGAACAAGCTACAGGATAACTTGTAGTTAGCATCGTAGGCAAGAATACTAACTACATATTACCTAAAGTGTTTAAGGCTACGTCAAAGATCCATCATAGGTTATCAAATGAAAGATCTGCTGTTTTAATCAATTATACTTTTTATCAGACTAAGCAAAGCAAACGAGGGTTATATGATGAGTTGTCCGCTAAAAGCATTGTAACACTGAGCGAACGACTGGATCGATTTTTAAGTTTGATGGCTCAAATTAATTTATAAGATCTCCTGAGTGTTTTGAAACAATTTGAGCTAAAAATTGTGACCCACTATTAAACAAAATGTATTTGATTAATTTGCAAAAAGCTTTGCAACACTGGTTTTAGTGAATGGGTGGATTTATTTTTAAGCTTGATGTTTTGTATTATCCAGAGAGGTTCTATGCATGTTTAAAGAATGAAACGGCATGAGAGTAATGTGTTCAGAGTGTCTGCTTAAAGGTATGTAACGCTGTTTTAAGCTAATCAATTTTTAAGTTTCATTGATTTTAAAGATTCCATGAGTGTTTTAAATTATTTGGGCTCAGAATTCTGTCAAATTACAGTGTAAAATGTGTTTAATCAATCCGCTAAAAGGTACGTAAAGATTTTTGGAGCAGAAGAAATGATAAATTTTCAACTTTGGTGGCTGTAATTACTCAGATCACTGATGAATGTTTTCATACAATTTGAGCTCAAATTACTGAAAAAAAATAGTATTATAGTTTAAATATCTCAATTATTTATTGTTGTTATTTGATTATTTGAAATAATCTGAAAATGAATTATTAACATTTTAAAAACTATAAATGTAAAAATTAAAAAATATTTTTAATTAAAAAAAAAAAACTCGACAACAGAAATTGGGAAATTTTATCCACCCTTTGGGAATGTACTTCCATATTTACTAAAACATCTTGGTAGATTGATAGGGAAATTGGCATCTACAAATATTTAAACGCACTGTTGTAGTCGGGTTCCTTCCACATCTCAAGACTCTTTCGGATGTTGACATGCACCGATACATAGGACAAAATCTATTTGCCTATAGTCGCAATGTGTAGTGAAAGGAACCCGACCACTACACCAAGTTTAAATTTTCGTATATGTCAATTTCCCAATCAATCTACCAAAATGCTTCGGTTAATATGGAAGTAAGTTCCTTTAGCCCTTAAAGAGGATAGAATTTCCCAATTTCTGTAGTCGATTTTTTTTTTAAATAATAAAAAACATTACATAATTAGGTAAAAACTTGAAATAACAGTGTGTCTAGAAACTGTTGTGTGGACTAGGGTTATGGCGTTTGGGCACTGTAGCGACACCTTCGACTACCAAACATGATGCTGTCAAAGTGTCTCTCTGTTCTAATTTATTAACATGCATTTATAAAGGCTAATGCATTTCAGCTAAATGTTTTTGTTTAAAGAAGTTGAAGTGAAATAAAAAATGGAAAAATATTTCTAGAGTAGTTAAGTTATTCTCAGCTATAAGTATAAGATATCCAAGCTAGGCACTGAATGGCCATGACGCAGTAGTGTTTCCACTCGTGTGAAACACAAGAGTTGCTCTTAAATTACAACTTTTCTTTAATACTAATAATCCTGACAAATATACTTAGACAAATTCAGAACCTATTGCATTTTTGTTATAATCTGATCTTCAATGAAGAACGAAAATTGAAAGTTTTTCTACAAATACAAAATTAATCTGAAATAGATCTTTGTTGACTGGAAGAAAGAATTGCAAGTTTATTTTGACCTCAGATGGTGCAAAGAGAAAAACTATGAGTGTCATATTTATCTTGATATACATATCAGTTGTGACGCAGCAGTTTTCAACTGCTAAAGTTAAAGATACTAACATTTAAAAATGAATTCCTCCTTTTCACATAAATAAATTAGAGCATCCTCAACAACAGTCAGTTTATTAACTGCATTAATATATTATTACAGAAGCGTTGATTTATAAAAGTATAAAAAGTCTAAGTTATAAAATATACAGTCCGCAGTCATAGAAATTATATCACCCAGTATAAATTTTATTTTATATATCAGGTTTCTACTGTAATATCTCCAGATATTTCTTTGTCAGTTATGAAACTATATTCTAAAATCAATCTCACTATGAAGTGGTTAAATTGTTCATTTGTTTTTTTCTCCTACACGTTTCTTTCTTTCACTCCATGGTGCCTTTTTTTTTCTTCAAAAATATGCCTACCAGTGATTGGTAGTACTCTTTCTTTGTTACTATATCCTGTGAAAATTCCTTTACTTCATGTAACGTCACAATGTTTTTTTTTTTGTTTTGTTTTTTTACGAGAACATTTTTGATACAGTTCATAATTACAGCTTTTATCCTGGCATTAGTTAAAATTGAACTGAGAATTATCGTTAAAGTTGTACTGATGGCCTGCATTTAAGATAAAAATACTTTTAAAGAATGTAATAAAAATAACAAAATGTTTAACAATTTATTGTTAAACTATAATTTATTATTGAGATAATTAGCTTAATATAAAAATGATAATTAACTTCTGAGTCTTAATTAATAAAATATTTGATAATCTTTTCTTTTCAAAAATGTTTTCCAATTCTTTTAATAACATTTGGCATACATGAATACCAATAAAAAGCTGGAGTTGATAGTTCCAAATGCGCATTAAAATAATAACACATGTAAAATTTCAGTTACTTAATGATAGGGTTTGTAAATAAAATAAATAGATCGTTTTTCAACCAAATATTTGTATTATTATTTCTTTAATATAAAATACAATTAATACTCAAAGTATAGTCCACTGTTATCCACCGTCATTAGCCATCTGCTCGCTAATCGCTCGATCCCACACTGATACCAATCTTTGGGATGGTAGTCAAAGAACTCTTGGACTGCAATTTCAACTTCAAATTTCATTCTAGAGCCAACAACCTCTTTTCTTCTAACCCCAAATTCAGTTCACTGAATTTTTCAAATAAATCACCTGTAATCATGCCGAAATTCCTTCCTGCTCAAAAATGAATTTTTTCTGGTCAACAAGAAACTTGAAGCAGGCCACTATTTGCCTGTCTCTGTCTAAATAGTAAAGGATCGTGTGAGAAGATTTCCTTTGATCAACAAAAGGTTTGACCAATCAACAATGATTTAATTTTCATTGTAACTTTAATTGAAAAAATGAAGTAAATAAATCTTAGTTTAAACAAGAACAAAAATATTTGTATTAGAAAAAAATATATAATTCAACATATAAAAACTTTATGGTTTAAAGCTTGATTTTAAGTTTCAATAGGTAAATTAATACAAAATGTTTTCTCAAATACTTTCCTTTATTATATTAAAAAAACTGTGCTGATGATGTGTGCTTTACACCACACAAGATATACTTGTGCTTTATACTCACAAAATAATTACATTTACAATGTATACAATTATAGTAATATATAAATAATTTTTTAATAATAACATTTACGATATATACAATTAAAATTGTAGATAAATTACTCTAGCAAACTTTGCTCTGACTAATAGTCATTTGTATCGACCATACTCTAAAAATGATACAATAGGTTTATAATAACTAGAATATGTGTTTATGATAACTGATGAATACTTTTGATTGAAATCTATTTGCTCAATATCTCACAAAAACTGAGTCATTTTTTAAATATAACTTCTGTAAATTTGTTGTATTGAGTGCAACAGAAAAAAGAATATATACACAGAATTTCTTATCTTATGACTTCCGCAAATTAGATTATGAATTCTCCATGGTATTTAAATTTTGAGATATTTCAGTCCCAATGTCCAAACAGTTGTTATTATTATACTATCGATTATATGATCTTATACTACCCGTTTTTCTTTCCGACTCACTAACTCGATGTCACATCAAAATATGATTTTGATTTGTAGCTAATTACAAAGAGGATAAAATTTCCCTTGCTTACGGTGTGCAGGTTCAATTTTTAGTTTCTGAGATATTTAAATCCAAATGCAAAAACACTTCATTAGTCTATTTCGAGATCTAGTTAGCCTATTCAATTAGTATAGTCGAGCCGACTTTACCGAAATGAGCATTACATATCCAAGAGTGACAGAACAGTCTCATTCAATTCAAAAATAGACTTTAATGTTTTTATGCACCAAAATAAGCGAATAGCTTCAAAGCCACGGATATAAATATATATCAACATAATCAATAACATTTTGGAGAGCTTCATAGTACAAGGTCTCATTAAGACTAGTCATAGAATCAGTTAAAATAATATTCAACATTACAATGCACTGTAGTCATAATAAATCAATTTGGGAACTTAAGACAACTATTCTGCACCATTTATTTAGTCTCATGAAGAAATAACGATTCTCTCGAATTTTAAAAAAACTCAAGGAAACATCCAACTTCAGCTTATTATTAATTATACAATCGTTATTATTTGAGAACAGAATTTCATAGATGATGATACTGAATCACCTTAAGCACTTAACATTACAATTTCAAAAACCTTTTGCTCACAAATAGTGATATACATATTTGATGTATGAGCAGCTCTTTTACAAATGGGTACAGTTGACTGTCAAAAACTTGAGCCAGCTACAGGCCAAGTTATGTATGAACTCATTTATCTAGTTCCTTCTAAAGAATTTCTATCTCTGGTTACAAAATTCTTCCTATTATCCTGGTTTACAAAATCGTTCCTAACATATACATTTAAAAAAATCAAGGAATAAAAATTTAATTCTGATTATTTGTCAATAATTGGAAAGAAAACTCAGAATAAAAATTAAATGTACAAAATTGTGAAATTGATTCTCTCAATAATTTCCTCACAACAAACTTATTCTATCTTTATATAATATATACTTTCCAACTACAGATTATGCTTTCAGCATTATATTTAATTTCATTAAATATAAATAAATGTAATTTTTATTTTTCATTAATACGTATTATAACAGAAAAATATTACAATACAGCCTCTATATCCTGGGAGTTCTAAGTGTACCATGAGATCAGTTATTTTCACATATGTATGAGTAGGAGAATTTTTTTATTGTCCTATGCACTATTATCAGAATTATTATTAGTGGAAAAAGTGACAGGATTGATAAGAACAATATTGGCCCATTTTTTTTTTTTTTTTTTTACCTGGTTAACAGAAGAATTAATTGAATCATGCTTTTAGGGTGACTGCATAAAAAAAGTGGGTGAGCTTCCACAAGTAGAAGATAGGGAGATCCTACTGTGTTTTAAATCTAATCATGAAGTTGCAGAAGTAAAAAATTTAAATATTTACCTTTTAAATATAATCCTTTTCATGCTTCATAATACTGTAATAAGATTCACTAAGCAGGATTGATTTCTTCGACTTGATGCCAGCTGCTGAGGTCCATTGTTTTGCTAGAGGTAATCAGGAATCATTTGATAGACTAGGGCCATCTTTTTTCTCAACAATTATGAAATTTTTATAATCGTAAATAAAAGAGGTTATCCTACAGAGAACCAACCTGTTCTAACCTTATTGGAAAGGTCAAGATTCATTTTGTGGGTCCGCCACAAAATAAATTTTAACCTGCACAGATCGGTTTTAAAGCAGCACTGCTAGTAGACTTGAGGTTGCTAAAATGATGCCTTAATACTCATATTAACTATCATGTTCTCTGAGACATTTATTACAAACCACCAATTTAAAAGCACCTAAATAATCCATAATGACTATTATTTATAACCACAGAACTTCAGAATGCTGTAACATGACCCCTGTTACACATTACTCCAATTCGGTAACTAAACTAATTTTCTATACTTAACTTTTTGTAGTAACTAAACTTAATAATAGGGTGAAGTCTTAAGGTGAAAAAACACAGTCAATGAATGGCGATTTTTACCAAATTTGTCAAAAATGAGAAAAATTATTGTAGCTTGGAAATGAGTACTTTAAGAGAAAAATATCATGGAATCAAAGTTGTACAGAATCATATTCTACGTCAACTAAGTACTTTATTCTTTAATGTATTTATTAATAGTTTTAATGTAGGTCACTTATTCCAATTAAAATTGATAATCTCCTGATGGCTGGAATTTGCTAATCAAGGCATGTGTGATTTTCAATATTTTATTGAGTATGTCTATTCTATTAAATTAAATTTAAGTTATTTCCGATAGAATATAAGAAAAATATGAAGACGTAGCTGTGTAATTTAAATAAAAATAAAGTAATTTCTAAATTATCCATATTGAATATTTCATTGAAACTTTTGAAATGAAATCATAAAATTATGAAAAACTATTATGTAACATACCCACTTCTTCTCCAGGTGTTTCTTCTTCATAATCATCTAACACTTCTTGTTTAATAGTTATTATGACTTCTTTGGTTTCTTCCATGCTAGAAAAGAAAAAATAACTATGCATAACGGGTATTATAAAAAAATTACAAAAGATATTAAAAATAAAAACGAATGAATCATATGAGGTATAACAAATATGAAATGAAATGGAAATATATTTTATTATTTTGTGACTTCTGTCCCTTTAGAATAAATTATAAGTACAGAATGCATGTCTGTGTGGTCATAAATAAATTAAATATTTACAATAATAGTTAATTCAAAGTAAAAATACAGAGAGAAAGAGAAAAGAAAAGCTTACATATACATAAAACAAACAAAGGAAAATGAAATAACATAAGTAAAAAGAAATTGTCTCTGGGGGTACTAAAATAGTTCTCTTAGATACATTTCATGATCAGTCGGATTGGGATAGGAATAAGTGTTTAAAGAGGAGAGGTTTGAAAGAGAAAACTGATTGTGAGATACCAGGAGAGATAGAATTCCAGAGGGAGACAGTTTGAATTGTATTAAGGTCTTGGGATATTTTTATTAAGCCAGACTGAGTAGAATAGCCAGGCCTGAAACCAAACTGGAAGAGATTTTTAGGAGATTATTCAGTTCTAAATAGTGGGATAGCTGGGATTGGACTGGCCGTTCTAAAGGAGAGGTTTGAAAGAAGGGAAATTGAACAGATATCATTTAAAGTTAATGGGTTAGAGGTCTTCTTCAAGGGACGAATTAAGACGGTTTTCCATGATGCAGGGAAGGAAGCATTTTGAAGAGAATAATTACAGATATGATGAAGGATCAGAAGAATGGACGACAGCACGGCTTTAATCTGTCTGACTGGAATGTTATCGGGACCATAATCGTTGTTATGGGACTTCTGAATGAGTTAAGATCATCAGGGGTAATGTGGGAAAAAAAGAAGTGACACGGTTCTACAGTTTGAGTGCTGTTTCGAAGCTGTTTGAAAGATAGAAAATCTTTAGGATGTAGAATTCGTTAAAACCGTCTCCTTGCAACATCTCTTTCTCTCATACACTCTCTCAAAGCAGGAGTTTTTGTGGTAAGGGAAGCATGTCGGTCAAGGATAGAGTGAAGATTAGTGGTAAGGGTTTCTACCATGATTTTGTGAGGAGTTAGTCGAGGGTGCGGTCAAATAAATAAAAAATTAAAATATATTAATTATTTTAATTAAATTTATTAATTATTTAATTATTTTAATTAATATAATATATTTTAATTTTTTATTTATTTGACCGCACCCTCAACTAACTCCTTCTCATATTATATCAACGGTCAACCATCTCTACATCATTACCATGGTTTTGATGAATTGTGAGGAATAAATGGAATCCCACTGGAATATAGTCAAGATCTTGCAAAAGTATTTCATGAAGAGAGAATTTAGGTTTCAGAGGGATATCATTCAGGGAGAAAAAAAATGGGACAGGGATATTGTAAGAAATCTGGATAAGATCGTAGAAAGATAGAAATGGGAACGGGTACTAAGATACAGCAAGAAGTTTGTCTGAGGAATCTAGGATAAACAGATCGAGCCAGGAATCTATCAACTGAGTATGATGGGTTGGGTTGTAGGCCACTATTTAAAGGCTGAGGGGATGGAAGAGGCTTGCTAGGTAAGAATAATCAGAGGATGGCAACAGTAAATTGATGTTAAAGTCTCCGGAGAGGATGACATTTGAGTAGGAAGGGATTAAGTTGTACAGAGAAGTCTCAAATGATTTATCAAACGCAATTCTAAGAGGACGATAAATGACAGCAAACAGAAGGGCAGACAAATTTGTGAAGATTTCGGCAAAGAGGTATTTAAGGTGCGCAAAATCAGTTAAGAAAGAGAAATGAAGGATTTTAGGCTGTCATGGACAAAGAGACATACTCCACCATCCATACAATCTACTCTGTCATGATGAAGGAGAGTATAGTCAGCTAGAAGAATCTGGGAAGACGGGATAGTGGGTTTCAGATCTAGTAATTAGATGAAAGAAGACATGGAGTAATAAAAGTCATCAAAATGGGCTAGGAGTGACTGAGCATTGACGTGGTAGGTTAAAAGGATAAAGGAGAGTTGACTAGGTAAACAGACAGGAAAAGCTTCGAAAAGGAATATTTTTACAGTGGCTAGAGCTAATATGAGCAGCAAGTTTAAAAAGATTTGGGGATTTAAACGAGAAATAAAGAAGAAAAATTCCTTAGATATTAATAATGAGGAAAAGTAGAAAATATAAAATTTAGTATATGAAAAGTCTGTTATTATGGTGAGAAAAAAAAAATTTACATAGATTGAATGTAAAAAAAATCAAAATTAAAATGTTCTCATAAACAAAAATAAAATTATTATTAAATTATATTAATAAAATAAAAGCGACATGGATATATGCATACATGTCAAGTGAATACGTTCAAGTTTAATGGTGAATTAATGATGACGACCTGTTTGTCACCGTCCCGTCAACATTTCAACTTGCCCGCAACTAAACCACACATATCTGATTTTCTGGCAGACCTCTTCTGCTGGGCCAACCAATGAATATGTCTGTTGGTTATAGACATAGTTTTGCTTAGATAAATCTTGTGTGCGTAGTTTTATTGCCATCCGAGGTGGTGTGTTGAAAAGTCTCTGATAACCTTTCACCTCTAACTCATCTCTAAGCGATGGCCAGACGAACCTTACCATAAGCGGCCCGGTCATATCATCTTGCCAGGATTTCATTCATTATGAGCAGTCAATATCTTCCAAGTTTATAAACTCAGACCCAGGCCAGTCCCCACGCTCATCACCAAGCCCATGAGTCTCCCCAGATCTTATTAAAATATAGTAATCATTTAATTTTGACGGCAAAAATGAAATAATTACTATATTTTAATATAGTATTTATTTAACCGCACCCCCCGATTAACTCCTCATAAAAATTTATAAAACATCAGAATATCAAATCTTGATACAACATAAAAAAATACAAATATGGCCAGGCAATAATAAAGGCTAATACTGAAGCTCTTATAATATAACATGCCTTTAATAAAAAATGAAATTATTTGTCAACTCGCCACCACCATGCTGTTACCAACTCTTTATAACACATCATTTATTGTCAGGGGTTTTTATTACAAATAAAATAAATACAATTACTACTTCCGTTGAGAAGAACCCTTGGTTATCTTTGGTTCTTGATAATTTAATGTCAGAATGGAAGGAGGTTGTGGAAACTAATACAATAAAAATGATGGCATCCTGGAGAGAAAAAAAAAGTTCATCTAAAATTTATTTAAAATAAAAGGTTTTAGCAAAAGTGAAAAGTGGTTGAATGTGAAGGCAATCATACACACCAAAAATTGCTTTACAGAACTAATATTTAGTAGCGTATTCAGCACATTCAATGTATTGTATGGGTAGATAAGATATTAGAGCTGTAATAAAGTGAAGATCAGTAAAATCAAATGAAAATTTAAATATTAGAAATGTACATTAGAAGTACCAATACTAATCAATAAATTATATTTTGTTTACTTCTATTGACTGCAATTTTCATTCGACTTCTCTGATAATATCTAGTCAACAATTTCTCCAACAAAACATACTCTGATAAAAGAAATTCCCCAATTTATAAAACAGCAAATAATATTTTAAAAATATTATTGATCCCTTAAAAAAAATAAAAAATTAAAATAGACAAAAATTACTTAGAAAAATAATAATTAATTATCAAAAACACTTAATTTCAGTGATCCTATAAACTTTACAATAAAGATTTTTAACTTTGAAGTAACACTGCAACCTTTTCACAGATAACACTAGCAAAATGAGAGTATCACATTACCTAGTTAACAGCAAGCCAAGCGTTATTGAGTCAATTGATAAAGAGCCATCTCAGACAACTGACAGCAATCAGTTATTTTTCACAGCAATAAGTAAGTATAATTCTACATTTAAAACTGTACCCATTACACAATTTTAGTTTTTATAAATAAAAACTAGAAGTGTCACTAGAATAATAGCAGTATTTTATTATAAATACATTTTTTTTTAATTTATAAAATCTCAATTTCTATCATTTAACTAACTGAGAAAGTGATAAGTTCAAATTATGGGATACAATTCTCATAAGGTGTCATAAGCTAAAATGTTGGTTTATTTTTCTGAGAAAAAATATTTATAACATAAGGGGTAACAAGTGTTGACAATGTTTTTTTAATCAGGTAAATTCTCATTACACTGAATAATCTTATTCAAATTTTGAACTTATCGATCCAATTTTCCAAATATCATAGAACCAAATCAGAACTATGTAGTAAAATTACACCCACACATCTCACTAAAATATTTTTAATATTCTGTTCCAATCTCATTTCTATGCCCGGTATCAAATATAAAATAAACACAATTTAAAAAAATGTGATAGCAAAGGAAGTTGTTTGGATCCACATAAACCTAGGTAATACAAAATAACACAGCTTACGACAGTTACAACAAAAAGATAAAATACATTCAAGAAAATAAGTATTCAAAAAAGAATTAATAGGGGTTAGTACAAGTAATAATTGAACTACAAATTTGCAAGTTACCTCCTACATAATCATAATTGAGTTATTAATGAATTTACCAGGACATTGTATGTCACATTAAACCAAAAGTATCAACTATGAACACACCACCAGCATTAATATTTTCGAATTAAATCTCCAAACAAGGACATACACAATCAAATAAAAACAACTACAGCTGCATTACTCTAAAAACCTTCCATAATAAATTTGACAGGCTTATTATTATCCCATATTAAGTTTGACTCTTGAAATGATTATTATCATAGTTTATTAATACATCAATGTTACTTTCATACGGAAGGAATCTCCGTTAGAATTGAAAACTACGATATATTTTTCTCAAATAGTCAAAGTAATTCCATATCTTACCCAACAACGACAGTGTGGAAACACAGAACTGTAATGATACGGTACAAGTTTGATTAGAAACGCGGGGAGCGTTAGTGTCGATAAAGAATTGGGATGAACAATCGATTTAAATACTTCATCTTCTAATCAACAATTTATTTTTTTTCTATTAAATTATTTACAAGCTTAACTTTTTCGTTATCATCATAATCTAATTCCTCTTTACCGTTTATGGAGTATGAGGTTGCCTTTTATAGAGCTTGGACTAGTTACAAATATCCCGCACCAGATGCTGTTCTATTCCAATACTCTCATCTGGAATTCACCTAGCACACCTTATTACCAGGAAATTCCTTGTGAATCTGCTCCAATCCATCCGGAGAAGGTACCCAAACCACCTTAACTTATATTCTTCGAAAATCGTTTCTACCTCTTCTCTGGATTGATTTCCATATTAATCTTTCTTATGGTATTGATATTGTCTTGGTGGTCACGGTCAATCTAGGCCAATATGACGAGTTTGTTAGCAAACGCAACGACAATTGTCAGCAAAAGAGAGTAAAGGGTAGGTTACATATCCCTACTTTCTTAGAGAAAATTCCGCATCTTCTCTCTTACTCTGCCCAGCGCCATATCAAGAATCACTATTAATAGAAGAGGCTCAGATTGTAACCTTGAGGTATGCCCAGTATGACAGGCATTGTTCTAACCAGATTCCTGATTTTGTGTAATAATCTGCTTAACGCCATAATGAGCCCATTATTTACACCTTTCTCTAATAAATCATCAACTATATATTTTTTTCTAATCCGATCAAAGCCCTTCCAGCTACTCTTTAAAATACTCTTTCTACCAATTTATTATTTAACTTATCCGCCAGATAATATTTCCATTTCAATTTTTGATTCCTTTTAATGTTGGTTGTCTCTCTTTTCGCATGTATTTGAGTACTTAGAAGAATAAATTACTTTGTTTCTTATAGTAATTTCAAAGTGCCACTTGAGGCACGGGCGGATCTACGGGGGCGGGGGCTTTCGGGCTGAAGCCCCCCCCCCAAAATGGAAAAATATAACCATGTTTTATGGGAAAAAAAAATTTTAAAAATACCTCTTAAAGTATTATTGTTCGTGTAATTACATTTAAAAGTACTTAAGGAATAACTTAAATACCATTCAATATAGATAGTTAGTTTCTTTCTGTTTTTCCAAAGTAATTATCGTTATTTTTATGAAAAAAAAGGTTTCGGGCTGAAGCCTCCCCCAAAATTAAATCCTGGATCCGCTAGTGACTTGAGGTGAAAGCAGAGAAGTTTGCCATGCTACTTTTGACACATCCTCCGCCTTTAATGTGCTACAGCAGCGACAGAAATATGAGAACCCCAGCGACTTACATGACCTAATTAATAGTGAGAAATTACCAATAAAATCGAAGAATGAAGCGAATGTTTCTTTTTTTTTTTTATGGAATAGAACAACGAATAGATCTTAAAAAGTGATGCCTATTAAACTTATATATTTACAAGAACATATTTGGGGTTTTCATCCCAATAGAAGTAAAGGAAATAAATTAATAAAATAAATACTGTTATAAAGTATAAAAGGGCGGTCCCTCCACGCCCAGTGGTATAATAAAAGGCCTCTGGCAACAGATGCAAAGTACGCATACAGCGTTCATAGCCCTTTTGCCTTAAAATGCCCTTGGGCAATAAAAGGAAATTAGAAATTTTTGTATTTATATTTCTTTATGTATTTATATATTGTATTTTGTATAGTAAATAAATTCCTGGAGGATAGGAAAAAAAAAAGAAAAGAAAAGTATATATATTACTTTATCAATGTAATGTTATCTAATTTTTTTTGTTCTCTCCTTCCTCGCTTTTAAGGCTACACTGGGTTTTCCCGTCCCGTAGGAGAGGGCGGGAGAATTATGCCGAGTTAAAATTCCCATCGGGTACCGGGATTTGAACTCGTAAAATTTTTCTATCTAACTTAGCGAAGTTGCAATTAATAATAACTGTAACAGGTTGTCGAGCCACGCGTGGTGCTGTACATACCCGTTAGCCCACTCGGCCACCCCGCCCTCTATTTAATTTTATGCTTCATTAGTTATTTAGTAGTTATTTGAATTAGGAGTTAAATCGACAGGCACTCTAACTAGAAGTTGTAGGCCAGACCTGGACCCCTCTACCGGATCCAGGATTTAATTTTGGAGGGGCTTCAGCCCGAAAGATTTTTTTTCATATAAGTATAAAAATGATTAATTAAAAAAAAAAAAGAAAGAAATTAACTACCTATACGAAATGATGTTTAAGTGGTTCTTGAAGTCCTACTAAATGTAATTAAACGAACAAGAATACTTTAAGAGATAGTTTTTAGTATTTTTTTCTATAAAACATGGTTATATTTTACCATTTTGGGGGGGCTTCAGCCCGAAAGCCCCCCCCCCCGTAGATCCGCCTGTGCTGGACCCCTTCGGAGCTCGGGCCTACGACGCCGGGTGTTCCCCCTCTCTCCTCTTGATATCGAATTTCCTGAATATATTGACCATCTGAGAGGTTTATTGTTACTTTAATATTGATAAGTGTGATATGTTAACCATGTTTCATACTATTGATAGTATAAGTTTACTTAAATGTATAGTAAAAGCAGAACTAATTTTTCATAACTGACCTCGTTTTTTATAGATGCTAATTGTACAAAGATAACATTATTATGTTATTTAACTTTAACATTATGATTTGACTATTTTTTTTTTTTTTTTTACAAAATATTAAAAATAATAATGTGAGAAATTTCAATGTTGACATTTAGGCTTTCTTGAAGGAAGGTTGCAGATTGTTCCTGGATATACCTCCTTATACCTACATTAAAGTCTCTTATTAATACCTTATTGGAAAATGTCATGATCAACTGGAATATTTAATTCCTGGCTTGGGACATTGTCATTATGGATGCCTCTATTTCTAACAGTATAAATACTGCTGACAGAGGTGAGTTTGAACAAAAACTCTTGATAGTTCATTCAGAACTTGTTTGAAATTGTTGCATATATTGGCAGTGTTCTGTAAAAAAGACGAACTTATTAATTCATTGTAACTTAGGCAAACTGATTAATGAATCAATGTTATGTTGCTTGATGTAACAGCATACTGTGAAAGTAGTTTTTTTTTTTTTAAAGAAATTAAATATGATGAAAAATAATTGCAAACCTCATTTAAACTCTGAATTACTATGATTTAATGGATTGGTTTGCTACAAGAGCAAGGCCTATTTCACATCTTAAGTTTTATGAGGAATTGCTTTATCTACAAAAACTTAAAAGTTTTTCCAACTAATGCGGACAAAAACAAATATAAGACTAAGACTAGGCCAGAGGTGCCTATCCTCCTCAATGCCAATTGCACATGAACCATCCCTCCTATCACAAGATATTGTCAAGTTATTACTCTTCTCTTCTCAAAAACAATGAAAGCGAAAGTAGAATTTAAAACTTTGTAGACCATATACAATTATACTATTTGCTGTCTGTTCCATGTTTCTCCTTCTCCTCTGATTTCAAACCTTTTACTTAGAAAATTCTTATCCTTGTCGAAATATGCCTCCCTCAAAAATTCAAAACTCAAAATATGACCCCCCCAAAAAATTGTATGGCGTAATTTGCGCTATGAAATCCCAATGTGGGCTTCCTTGGACTAAGAATTAAGGAACTTATTATATGGTCAATGTTAATGAAGGAATGTCAGACGTAGAAGTCTCTTACACTTGTCAGTATCATGTCATTAAGATCTTGCATTCCTCAAAGAAGTAGTTATCCTTTTCTGAATATGAGTAATAGTGAATTTTATATTATTTGTCTTTCCTATGACCTTAAAAATAGGATTTAATAACAAATATGTCTTAATATTTTATTGTTAAAATTTATTATATTTGGTTATATATCAATCTATAAATAATAATTTTCCAATAACTACCAGTTATTTATTTATCAATTGTTAATTTCCAATGACTTGTTGATTTACAGGAGAGGGGCGTTAGGTCTCAAGCCCCCAAAATGGAAATATATGTACTTTTTCATTGGTCTATGTTTAATTTTGTGTGTGATTCAAGCTAAAAACTTAAACAATTTCAATATACTATCTTTTTAAATAACAATGCATATACAATGTTATATCTATTCCAAAAGGCCCATCTATTATATCTAAAAGCATTAATTTTCCTGTAATTACTGCTTTTTATTTATTTATTTTTAAATTTTTAATAATTTCAATTACTCTGGAAGAAAAATAAAATAAAATACCTGTATGAAATGATTTTTAAGTAGCTTTTGAATGAAAAAAAGCCTTGTTCCAAAAGTAAATCTGGTACTGTTTCCAAAGGATTATCCACTACTGTTTCCAATTACATTGTTATGAGGATGTAATTGATAGAAATATTTCTATTATATATTTTATTCACTCTAGAATATAACCTTAATATTAGTGTTATCTTAAAAGTTTATTTTGTTCCTAGATATTAAATTAAACTTTGAACAAATAAACAAAACAAAAAAAAAAAAAGAGTAAATTTAAAGCAGCTAAATAAGATAAAATATTACGATTTGCTAAAAATAAAAATTTAAAACTAACGAAGAGGGATCCCTAAAGGTCCATATCTGTATAATGATTTAATATTGCTCAATATAGCCCTAATAAGTACAGTAATATTGACACGCCCTAAATAATACTGAAATAGCTTCAATAAATATTTTAAAAATTTAATATCAACCAGTTTGATTAACACCAATATGATTGGTGCAATGTAGTCGTCACACAATCGCTATATTGATGAAATTTAATATTGACCATGTAATGGCCCCTTAAAGTAGAAAAAAAAATGTGAAAAACAATAAAAAGTGAAGTTCAATAATTTTAGTTGTAATAAACAAAATTAATTTGAATTTATTATTTTTCTTCGTTATTCTTAACTTACAATATCTGGCACATTCTAGAAAAAAAAAAGAAGAATTACATTTCATGTGTTAAAAGTACGAGCACGCTGCTTAATAAATGAAATCCTTTTTTAATGTAATTCATTGACATTAATTATTTTAACTACATGAAACTATCAGAATATATTCTAAGTTCTCAAAACTATAAACATATTACAAGTTTAAATAAAAAACAAAAAAATAATTTTATACCATGTAAATTAAAAAATATATTTTTTTTAGCATTACCGGCCTGCTAAAAAATAAAAAAATAATAAAAAATACAGATATTGTATTATATTTATAAGAGAAATGATTATCATTTTGGTATGATATACTAAAAATAATTACTTGTTTTGTATCAAGGTCATTTACTTATTTGCACATACAATTTAATATGTGGCATAGGTTTGCCTCCATCAAGGCAACAAATAATACTGAATAAGCACCCATTAAACCTAATTTTATTTTTATTGCTTTCAAACTTTCATTCATAGTTGTATCTCGTTTCTCTAAGTCCCTTTGAAGTTCCTCAACTTATGCCGAAACATTGGCACAATTAAGTGCCAGTATACAGTATTACTATTACTGTGTCTTGACCACATTTTCTGACCAACTTTTCAACTATATTATAATATAACTATATTATAAAAAAGACAAACAAATACAATGTAATTGCAAACGCTTTCTTGCTATTCACTCACCTTATTAACACATTTCTATAATTGATTATATTTCACTTTTGAAGTAGTATAGTGTATTAGTAATATTGTAATGGTCATTTTTAAGTTGAATACAAAGAGCTTCTTAATTTAAAAAATATTTTTAGCATCATATATAACAAACGAGTCGACACCTCTTCACAATGTAAAGCTGAAGGATGAGGGATATAAGTATATCATAGGCACATTTGGTATCGTAACTTTGATCATAACCATTGGTTTAGGTGTTGCCATCAACAAGGATCCTGGAGAGGTATGCAAAATTTGCTTTAATATAATTGTAGATATATATCATATGTAAATATATATATATATATATATATATATATATATATATATATATATATATATATATATATATATATATATATATCATATTTAATAATTAACATTACTTGAAACTATTTTGGTCGAATGTTAGTTTACTCATTGTTGATTGTTGAAATAGTTTTTCATTGCAGGTATCTTTCGGAAGTGGTATAGCAGCTGACCGTTCTGTGTGTACTGAAGCAGGCAATGAAATATTTATGAAGGGAGGTAATTCAGTAGATGTTGCCGTGGCTGTTACTGTCTGTCTTGGAGTAGTTTTTCCTCATCTGACAGGCATTGGAGGGTATGCATCTATCATTTAAGTAAACATTAAATGATTTTAAGTTTAGTGATCTATCAACATCTACAAGTTTGACAACCTCAGTTTTGATTATGTATGAATACAAAAATGCAAAATTCCGCATTAGGGAGTTGCCTATTTAACAATTCTCGGATAAAAAAAGAAACAAAAAATATGAACTTAAACAATTCTAAGTACATTATTTATTTAAATAGATTATCCACCAAGTCTTGTCCAATGACAGGATATCATTCGATAGTTTGTATATAAGACACGTACATACTATATACAATTTTACTTGTTTGGTATGTTTTCACTCCTAAAATGAGTGGAACAAAACCCAATTGAAAAAATTTAATTTTTTGTTTGTTTATCATTAACTAAACCAACATCTTCCATCAGCCAGAACAAAACTAATTTATATAGAAATATAAGTGAGATATTAAAAAGTTGAAACATTACCATGTTTCATCACTAATTTTTTGATATATAATTTATGAGGAAGAGTTATAATGGCTCTAGATTTATAAATGAAAGGCACCTGTTATAGGCACCATAACCATTATTTCAAATATGTTATCAAGAATATTTCTATTTATATAACATTTTAATTTACCTGGTAGTTGATATCTCATTTATATAATAAAAAAAGGCTTCTTCAACATCCATCTCATAGCTATACAATGCATGTTAAACATTTGTCAATTTTTAAAAATATGTTTAAACTAAAATACATTTTTTAAAATATTTGAGGAGGATATTTTTCTATGTAACATTGTCTAAGGTATCTGAGTTGAACTTTATACTAATCCCATCTGCTATATTAATTCCCTCTCTCCTATATTTATTTACTTGTTCTTGCTCATGGATTATTATTTTTAAAATTATTTATGATGTATGCATTATAATTGTTTACATTTTTTGTATCTGTTTTAAAATTTGTCTTTAGTAATATGTATTTCCTCTTCTGTTTTTGTATATTTAACAATATTCAGAATTTTTGTGTTATTAAAATCAAAACTGTGGTTTTTTTGTTATATTATGTTGCGTCAGGGCTGTTATATTTACATTTTGCACATTTTTACAATTATTTTTATGATAGTAATTCTTGTTTCTAATTTTTTGGAGGTCCCCCCTAAGTATATTTTAATACAGTTTTTGCTTTCCATTTCATAATAATAATAATAATTTAAATAATAACAATAATAATAATATTATTTACTATTTCTTGCTCATGGAGTATTGTTTTTAAAATTATTTATGATGTATCATCAATTGAATAAATTGGGCCTTTAAATGAATTGTTTGGAGCTAATGCAGGAAGCATTGTTACTTGCAACTGCGAGTATTGTTCGAAAATTTATGAATGCAACACAATAATATTTCAAGCCTACCCTTGGCTTAATTCAGACTAATGTGCTGTAACCAGCAAATACTGGGAAACAAGGAATTTTCCTAAATAATAACAATAATTTTAAATGAAAATAAAAAATAAACCATATAATACTAAACAATAAACCAAATAATAATAACAATAAACCAGATAACAATGATAATGACACTAACAATAAATCAGATAATAACAATGGCTTGATCCCATAAGAAACAATTAAAGCCTACAAAGTATTGGGACTTCCAGATTATATCATAGAAGATCAGAAAGCTGTGCTGCTGGGGACAACCAGCATAGTTCGCATAGTAGCATAGACAGAGCCTAATCCTTGACTCATTGAGTCCAGGTAGATGAATATTCCCAGCAATGGCTGAGGAAGTGCGAAATTCTGATAATAATAATAGTATTGGAAATACACAAAGTTCAATCTAAAATAAGCAAACTTCTTTCAAATTTAATGGTGGACTGTGCTACTACGCTGAAGATAGGAGCAATCCGCGCTAACAATCAAATTAAAGTTCTTACAGGCATCTACCAAGGAGATTGCCTTAGGCCTCTGTGGTTTTGTATGGCACCGTTCCCATTAAGCAGGGTTACTCAAAAGGAGCAAGGAGGGCTACAAACTTAATATCAAAGATGATGAGACCACAATCAGTCGCAGTTGGTAGATGGATGAACTCAAACTGTATGCAAAGAATGAACAGCAACTACAGAACATGGTTGAACTGTATCATCCTTTACCAATGAAAAAGTATTGCAAGAACGGCAGAAAGCAGTTCTCCTCAGCACAGCGAACATCGTTAGAAAGTTTTTAAACATAGATTTAATTTTGAGCCTAACCTTTGACCATGGTCCAGGTAGGTGAATATTTTTGGCAAAAGCCAAGAAAGTACGAAATTCTAAAATAATAATAATACTTCATTTATTCTGGGATGAGTCTCTTTACAATAATACAGAAATGTGAGCTAAGGAGCCTCAGAGAAATATAAACAAAAACACAAAGTAAATCAATAGTAATGATAAAATTTAAAAAAAAATTATAAGTTACTTTCTAATTTAAATCAGTTAATTACAAAAAATGAAAAAATTTAAAAACATAAAGTAAAAATAATTAAGAACGATCTAATAATTTATATACATAACAGTAATATCTATTTACAATTTTATGGGGACTGGATGAATAAGAAATAATTGAACATGAGGGATTTAAGCGTAGGTAGTGTAGTGCGTAGGTACCTCCAGAACCGGGCCTTCTATTGTAAGAACCAGTTTCCCGAAAACGCCTGACGGTGTCTAGTAAAGTTTCATATGGAACTCCGATGGCATTAGCTGCATATCTAATGGAACGTCCATCATCAATAAGTGCCACACCACGCGCAACATCCTCAGCACTAAGAGGTATTTTTAAACTTAATATTGAAAAAATTACAAGCCGGAGACTAAGAAATGTGCTGCGAGAAACGGCACTGAACTAATGATACTGAATAAACATTTTGATTCCCTAGAAAGTAAACATTGGAATCTAGAATCATTTCATTGAATTAAGGATTAAGTGTTATTGTCCTCTATATATATATATATATATATATTAAATTAGAAAATTCGTCAATGAGGAAGAATTTTCCTTATATTTCTCTTTTGATTAAACAGCTGTTTAAAATATTAGATTTCAAAAGGAACGTCCTTCGGAGGATATTTGGCCCAGTTAAGGAGAATAATGGTGAATGGATAATTAGACGCAACCAAGAACTAGCTAACTTATACTGGGAGATGGATATGGTGAAATATAGCCGGATAACAAGTCTAAGATGGGAGGACCAAGTTGTACGGATGGACTTAACCTCAATCCCAAACAAGCTGCTGAGCATGGAGCCAGGTGGAAAAAGAAAAGTGGGCAGACCGTAACTGAGATGGAAGACAGAGTATGTACTGATGCCATTATCCATGGAATCAATTACTGGTGGAGGCTGCTCAGGGCAGGGAGACATAGAGGAAAACTCTTGAGGCAGCCAAGATCCAGTAATGGATATGCGAGCTCGGGATGAAGATATTGTTCATATTAGACAATTCGTCTTAAAGGATGATTTTTTTCCTATATTTCTCTTTTCTTTAAATATCTGTTTTTGGATCTTTTTTTTTTTCGGAATTATTCTTCTACTATCCAGAGGGGAGCGCGCCCCCTGGCAGAAATCACTAGTGCTATTCACGATAATAGCTTTTATTTTATATCACATTACAAAGCTCGTCTATGAGGATACATTTTTTCTATATTTCTCTTTTATATTTATCTTTTCTTTAATAAATGTTATTTGGAATTTTTTTCAACCAACCAGGGCGCCTCCTGGCAGAATATGATAGTGCTGGTCACGATCATAATATTTTTTTTTATATTATACACTGATAGGCAAAAAATTCCACCCACTTGATTTTTTCATGTTTTCATCTAAAAATATTTCTGATTTGGATTGGTCTATTGTTTTTAATGAATAAATAGGCAATCTTTTTGTTTGTTTTCAATTAGGAATGTTAATATAGAGGACAATGACACTTAATCCTTAATTCAATGAAATGATTCTAGATTCCAATGTTTACTTTCTATGGAATCAAAATGTTTATTCAGTATCATTAGTTCAGTGCCGTTTCTCACAGCACATTTCTTAGTCTCCGGCTTGTAATTTTTTCAATATTAAGTTTAAAAATACCTCTTAGTGCTGAGGATGTTGCGCGTGGTGTGGCACTTATTGATGATGGACGTTCCATTAGATATGCAGCTAATGCCATCGGAGTTCCATATGAAACTTTACTAGACACCGTCAGGCGTTTTCGGGAAACTGGTTCTTACAATAGAAGGCCCGGTTCTGGAGGGCTTAGGGTAACAGAACCACGGGATGACCGGTTTTTGACTTTGAGAATTTTACGAAACCGGCACCTTACCGTTGTTCAAGCGATTCATCAGCAAATTTTTTAATGTACCGCTCGGAGGAGATTAAATGAGTACGGATTAATGGCTTTTCGTCCAGTAAGAGGACTAGAGTTGACCAGAACTCACAGAGTAACACGGCTGGCTTTTGCTCGAGAACACAGCCATTGGACTATGGACGAATGGAGTGCTGTACTTTTTACAGATGAGTCAAGATTCGCTCTTCGATCTCCAGACGGGCGTGAAAGAGTGTGGAGAAGAAGAAACGAAAGATATGCAGCCTGTAATTTTTCACAGAGCCAACCTTTCCAACGTGGTTCCTTAATGGTGTGGGCTGGGAGCGCCGCACAGAATTGGTTGTTGTTCGTGGAGGGTCTTTGACGGCCATTCGCTATGTAGATGAGATTTTGGAACCTCATGTATTTCCTATCCTCAACGAAATCGGCGATCGTTCTATTCTAATGCACGATAATGCATATGTCGCCCGCATAATGCAGACTTTCTCTCAACAGAACAATATTGAGGTTTTAGCCTGGCCAGCATGTTCTCCAGATTCGAACCCCATTGAGCATTTATGGGATAACTTCGGAAGACGAATAAGAGCGTGTGCAACACTTCCTGATACACTGCAGGACCTTGAAAGGGCTCTTCGGGAGGAATGAGCTATCCTCCAGCAAAGGGACATTTCCCGACTGGTGGAAAGTATGCCGAGGCGTCTTCAAGAAGTAGTGAAGGCAAGAGGAGGAAACACGCGCTACTAAACGATGATGTAATTAATTTCTTTTAGAATAATAATGGTTCGTTTTTCAATTTTTTTTTCTCTAATCTTTCTTAACTAATCACATTTTGATTATTAAAGGTAAAAAAGATTATAAAATTCCATAAATACTAAGTATTATCTACAAATACCATGTATTATATACAAATACAACTTTACAGAAATATTTTTAGATGAAAACATGGAAAAATCAAGTGGGTGGAATTTTTTGCCTGTCAGTGTATTAGAAAATCCGTGTATGAGGATGCATTTTCTCTATATTTCTCTTTTCTTTATGTAGGTGTTTTTCCGTAATTTTTTTCCAGTATCCAAGGAATGGTGTGCCTCTGGCAGAATTCGCTAATGCTGGACAGGATAATAATTTTTTTTTATATTACATTATGAAATTCCTGTATGAAGATGAATTTTCTCTTTTCTTTATATAGGTGTTTTTTTAGCATCCTTCCGGTAGCATCTCCAACCCCTGCCTCTTGACATCATATTTCCTTGTGTCCTTGAGGATCATTTCTAGGAGCATCGCAAGGTCAGCACCTTATCACTTAGTGGGACACTGTTCTGTACGCCTTCATGACGCCCAGCAAAGCCAGGCTGGCCAGTCTTCTCATCTGTTTCTGTGTGAGGCTCTGGCTCCAGGCGGAGCATCAGTACTTCAGGATACCCAAGACAAGGAAAAGTATACCAGTGCCTGGTTCCAAACAGTATGTGTTCGATTCCCTTTTAGACTAGCAAATATCAACAATCCTGAGAACTTTTTCTTGACACTCCCATTCTGGTCTAATTCAATTCTAACAAGACACATTATGAGGCAGTCAATTCTAGATAGCCCTCTGTAGTTGGTATAAAAGACCGTTTACCTCACTTATACTAATATCAGTACCCTCGTGACAATGAGGTCCATTTTTAAACCATTTGTTTGACTTTGTTTTGTTGCTTTGAATGGTCATTAGGTTCGTTGATTGATCATGGTCATAATTCTACAACATAATAAACTCTAATTAATGAAAATTCGATTAATCTCTGGCCGATTCTAGATATATCATATTTGAAGGAGATGAAAGTATATTTGTGACAATTTATAAGTTTATTACTGCCCTAGTAATATTATTTTTAATATAATCATCAGTGTTTTGATTTGTTTTTTATAGTGTTTGTGTAACAGTATAAACTTTTAAGAGATGTTTGTAATATATTTTATACATCAGAATTTTTTTTTTATTATAATATGGTCATGCATATAAATGTTTGTTTTGTTTAATAGAAATGGTGTTTTATTAGTCTATAACCATAAGACTGAAAAAATTCTAATGTGCTTGGATTCCTGGCCTCCAGCTGGAACAGTTGTTGTCCCACAGTTGATGTTAGCACTATACACAGCTCATAGTTCATTTGGTCACAAATCATGGAGTATAATTCTTGAGCCTGCAATCCGTATAGCTAGGTAAGATCATTTGAAAATTGTCAATTAACAATTAACCCAAGTTAAAAGTTTCCATCTAGATAGCACTGCAGTTCTTAATTACATCTTTAACAGTCCAGACAATTTTCTGTAGCCTCATTCGTATCATAGATCAAAAGATATCTTGATGTTCTTTATATGCTCATCTTTGGAGTGAGCAAAAATAGACAATTTTTTGAAAAAATTTTAAAATAAAAAAAATTCTTTGTTTTGATGGATAGTTTACATAAATGCATCTTAGTATAGGTACAAGCTGTAGGAAAATAAAATATTTATTCCCACAAAAGTACATCGGTTGACCAAATTGTGTCCATATTGTAGCTACCTGTCAAATATAATATTTATTCAAAACCGGTCTAGTATCTAGAGAAATATTTTTTAAAGAGAAAGAAAGTTGATATTTGTTTTTCGCATCTCAAAAAAACCTAAAATAGAAATTTTTACAGAAACTAAAAAATTAAAATTTCCTGCACTAAATTTTTGTTGAGGCTGGACCCTTCGAAATTTTGTTTACAACCACCAATTGTGATAACTTTAGAATTACTCCATTGATCCACACAAAAATTATTAGGGATTTAGGACTCTGTATGTTACATGAAATGGTACAAAACAGATCTCCGTAAACGAATTACAATCAAAGATATAAAATAAGGATGATTGGTAAGTTTTTCTTAATTTCTAATTTAAAAATGAATGAAATCTAAAAGTTATGTACGTGTGTTGGAAGATCACTATAATGTTAGTACAACTGTTGGAAAGCTGAATTTTCCAACGGTAGTATTAACGTTGACTTTGGAGAAAATCCGGAGAAGTTATGAATGCTTTAGTTGTGGGCCAGAAAAAAAATCCTTGAAGAAAATCAAGAATTAAATTTTTCAATTTCTTATTTCTTTAAAAATTTGTATTTAAGAGTTTAAAGTTACACTAAAAAACGAAACTAACTTGCTTTTTCATAACAAAGATTTTCTTGGCCTACTTTACTGGAAAAATATATTGGTTTTTTTAATTTATGATAAATTACAACCTGTTTATAGTCAATATTTTTTTTTCTTATTCTGCACAAAAAACGAAAATGATTGATATATAATGATCTAAAAATCTGAGCAAAACAAAGGAAAAATAAACAACATAAATTTTGTTTGAAATTATATAAATTAGGTTTGTCCATTGGAACGAATGCTGGGACGTGTCCAATATTTTTTGATCTAGTATAAAAAAAAAATTGGTTGAAATCAGTGTCCCACTGACTGTATTCCCTTGTAAGCCCTATCAGAATTAGGCCCCAATATATTTTTCATGGATGCCAGGCTCAAAGATTCATATCCTAAAAAGATTATAGTAATCTGTAATGGCCAAATTATAAAAGTATTATTAATTTTCACCTAGTAAGTAAATAAGATCTTGTTAAATTAGGTTGGAAATAAGGATACTCGGTATTTCCTATCATAGTTATAGTACATAAATGTGTTAAATCCAATCAACAATCAATAAAAATTGCATATGCTTTGGTTAATCAATCTAAATTTGGTTTGTTTATTATAGGGAAGGATTCCAGGTTTCTGAAAGTCTAATACAGTCACTGAAACACCTTTCCCCAAACGCCAATGATGACCTCAAGAACTGGCTACATTCTTTAAAACTAGGAACTGTTATAAAATCTCCTCAACTAGCTGAAACTCTGGCTGTTATTCAAGACAAAGGAGTCGAAGGTCGTTTTAACAATACTCTTTAAATTATTTAACTTTTTGTGAATTTTTTTTGCAATAAAGCTTCCCTAATTCTTCGTCTTTATTAGACAAAATCAACTCATCAGTATTATAGTTAACGTTTTGGAGTTTTTAACTCCAGTAATTATTAAGTGTTTTAAAAATGATAACTGGATAATTTAAATGAAACTATTTACAGTTATTTTAATTACGAAAAGAACAGACATGAGGATTATATTAAATATCCTCGTATTAAGTGAACAGTTCTGTCTATGGTATTAATATTTATGAGTTAAGAGCTCAGGAATTCATTTAATATATAAATTCCTCAAAATTCTAAAAATAATAGTTTTACTTTTTCGTTAATGCTACTTACAAGGGGAGATGGATGAAGTGGGACCACTGATTTCAATGAAACTTTTTTTGGTGGTACTAGATTGAAAAATATTAGACCCATGCCAGAGGGTTCTTGCAAATGAGCCCTATTAGCTGTAAAAAAAAAAAATATATATATATATATATATAATTTTTATAAAAATGTATGGTATTAATTTTTGCCTTCGTTTTGCACGTCTTTAGGTTATTATTTATCAATTGATTTTTTTTTTTCAACATTAGAAAGAATATTGACTATGGTATTAAATGATTTATTATAAGTGTCTTAATTTACAAAAAATAAAGGGGCTTCCAATGAAGCAGACTAAGTAAATTTTTGTTATAAAAAAGAAAGTTACATTCGTTTTTAGTATCCTTTAAAACAATTAAATACAAATTTTTATAGACATCAAATATTTCAAATTTGTGTTCACTATATTCTTAGAGGATTGTTTTTCCGTCCATTAACTGAAGCATTCATAACTTCTTAGGATTTTCTCCAAATTCAACATTAATGTTTTTCCAAACCATGTCAATAAGTTTTAGATTTCATCTGTCTAAGCTAGATTTTTAAAAAATCTTCTCAAACATTTTTATTTTATATTTTTGTTTCTAATTTTTTTTATGGAGGTCAAGTTTGTACCATTTTGAGTCCTACATACCTATTAATTTTCTTGTAAATCGGTGAAGATATGGTGAAGTTATCAAGATTTTTGTGGCTGTAGAAAAAAAATTTTGAAGGGTCCAGCCTAGGTAAAAATCTGAGTAGATAATTTTAACAAAACAAACAAATATCAACTTTGTTTCTTACTAAAAAAATATTTACTCTAAATACTGAACCGGTTTAAAAAAAATGTTATATTTCTCAGATAGCTATTGTAATGGGAACAAATCGGACCAACTGATATAGCAATGTGGTGGTAAATATTTTTTTAGTTAGAAACAAAGTTGATATTTGCTGCCTACTTTATGGAATGTAACTTCTTTTCATAAAAAATCTACTGAGCCTTCTTTACTGTAAAAGCTTTCAAGTTTTTGTAGACTTTATAAATCATTTAATAACATAGTCAATATTTTTTTCTTAATTTGCACAAACAAATAAATCAATTGATACATAATAAGCTAAAAACCCATGTGCAAAGCAAAGGAAAAAAATAATTGACATAAATTTTGTTTAAAATTATGTAAAATATTTATTTCTCAGTTCCTAAGGTTATTAACATTATTTCAACATTTTTGAAGAGATTGGTTCAATTCAATAAATAAAGAAAATATTTCCATTCTCTTCTGTAAAATTAAGCATATTCATTTTAATAAGTGTGAATACAGCCGTTTCACTTTTACAATCGTGAATACGGCCGTGTTTATATTTACAGCCGTGAATATGTATCATCTGTATTCATGTTTCTTTATATGAATATAAAAGTATTCATAAATGCCATTAATATGAATGGTATTCATATTTATATTTTTGAATATAAATATGCTCATCTCCGATTATTAGTAATTACAAAAAATGGCTTAACATAAATTATGCAAGAATTCATTGTTTAAGCCAGCAAAAAATAAGAAAAATATTTTTACAAGCTGAAAACATATTTTCACAAATAATAATAATAAGATAAGATGTATAATCTTCCGTTAGAAAGCTTAAGATTTTAGATAGAAAAAGTTATTTCTAACATAGAAAATTATTTAGTGACAAATAACGATGTGAAAAAAAAACTATTGCTGTAGTCAATTATTTCTGCTTTTATATTATTCAACAGAAAAAACAAAAGATTCCATACGAATTAATTGCAATTTTTATACAAACTAAACGGGAACTTAAGCATGTCACACCAAAAATATATAGTGCACAGTGTTGTCATTCTGAAGGTTTATATTTATACATATATACTATGATTATTATTAATTTGTTTAAAACTGATTTATACTGATTTGGTGAAAATTGTGATGCAACACTCACATCAGATATATTCAACTGTTTATCAGTTGAATATTTACTGGCATATTAAAATTACCTCCATGTTGCATAAAAGAAAAAATTAGTCCTGAAAAAATGTTGACTCTCCAGAAGCTACTAGATAACTGAGTTAAACTTAACTTTGAATGACCCATTATTAATAGGCTTTCTTCAATGGAAAATCTCCAAATGGTGAAGGACTAAAAGGGTCTCTAGAACTCAAACTATCTGCTCCTGATGCTAGAAACCGTTATGTAATTCCAGAACTTATCAATGTTATATTTTATCTATGAGTACTCCAGACCATAGTCCCCTAATCCTAACGGTCTCCACGTCACCAATTCCCAAACCACCTCCACCTTCATTTATCAGGGGTCCAGTTAATTGGAACCTCTTCCGTCAAATTCTGGATGATAATATTGACCTCAGAGTTTCCTTAAAAACACCTGCAGACCTAGATGAAGCAGTATATTCCATGACTACCTTGATCCAACAAGCAGTTTGGACTGCATCTTCACCTGATACTTCTAATAAATACCGCAAAATAAATCCTCTACCCCAAGACCTAATGGACCTTATTTATAGGAAACGATGCTCTAGGACCATCTGGCAAAGAACCAGGCATCCTGATGATCGGAAATCATATAACTATTATTCCAAGCAGGTAAAACAAAAACTGGCTACGTTTAGATCCCAATCCTAAAATTCCTATCTTTCCTCACTATCTGCAAGTTATAACTCCCTCTGGAATGTAACAAAAAAAATCCTTAAATTCCAATCCATTTCCCACCCCCTTCGCCGTGACGATGGTTCCTGGGCTTCGTCAGATGAGAATAGAGCAGAAGAGTTTGCTAAACATCTGTCGTACACATTCACTCCTCATCCTGAACTCTATCCCTCCCATACTGCTGAAGTTAAAGAATTCCTCTCTTCATCGATTCCTCTCTCCTTACCTCCTACAGCCGTCAACCCCTCTGAGGTCAAATTCCTTTTAAAGAACCTAAAACCTCGCAAATCTCCAGGACACGATCTCCTTACTTCCCAGATCCTCAGACAACTTCCCAAAAAAGCAATTATATTCCTTACATACCTATTCAACTGTATCCTCCGCACAACCCACTTTCCCCTGGTGTGGAACACTCCATAATTATCCTCTTTCCTAAACCAAGTAAACCTGTTAATTATACATCATCCTATAGACCGATAAGCTTACTTCCGATCCTTTCCAAAATCTTTGAAAAAATCCTTCTCAAACACATCCTACCCATACTCGAATCCCACAATATCCCTTCCCATCAGTTTGGATTCCGCTCAAGACACTCCACTGTCCAAAAAGGCCTTCGCGTTGTGGACCACATATCCTCTGCACTTGAAAACAAGCAATATTGCACTGGTGCCTTTCTGGACGTAGCTCAAGCTTTCGACCGGGTGTGGCACGATGGCTTGCTTTTCAAGCTCAAAACCCATTTACCTCAACCCTTGTACCTAGTCCTCAAATCTTACCTTTCAAGTCCGCTGCGGCACTGAACTCTCCAAACATTATCCAATTGAGGCTGGTGTTCCACAAGGCAGTGTCTTGGGCCCAGTTCTCTATATCCTTTTCACCGCTGACATCCCTTCAAGTCCTGATACCTTCCTAGCAACATTTGCTGATGATACTGCCATCCTATCCTCCCACTCGGATCCTCTAATAGCGTCCCGGAACCTGCAAAGACACCTCTCCTTCATTGAGCAGTGGTGCAACAACTGGCGCATCAAAATTAATGAATCAAAATGCAAACATGTAACTTTCACTCTTCGACGCAGATCCTGTCCGCCAATCCTTTTTAATTCAATTCCTCTTCCCTACTCAGACACAGTCCGATACCTTGGCTTCCTTCTGGACAAAAGACTGACTTGGAACCCACATACGAGACTTAAAAGACAAGAGCTTAACCGACGATTTGGTCAGCTATATAGACTACTAAACAGAACATCTCATCTCTCAACAGAAAACAAATTATTAATCTACAAGACCATACTGAAACCTATCTGGACCTACGGATTTGAACTGTGGGGGCCAACTAAATCATCGAATATCAAACACATCCAATCCTTCCAGTCCAAAGTCCTTCGAACAATAGTCAATGCTCCATATTATGTCACGAACAAGACCCTACACCATGACCTTAACATCCCATATGTCCATGACATCATCCCATCCAGCTTCTCCAACTTTCACCAGAACCTCATTCATCATCCCAATCCTCTAGCTCAATCCCTATCCAGCTCCGAGCATCCATACCATCCCCCTCGAAGGTTGAAACGGCAGTGGCCTCGAGATCTTTTGTAAATATGCCTTTGGAGTCCTGGCAATGGCCAGCTTCTCCACTCATGTCCTGAGCATCTGTGGCTGTAGTGCTCTCTTTCAGTCTCCACTGGCTTCTAATACTAGTGATGCGGCTGGAAAAGTGGCACTGGGATTTTCTGGAGTCTTGCTTTGCCTTCCGCGTGTGGGGAGGAAAAGCCTGGCTCGGAGATTCTTGGGCGAAGGTATATATTGTATATAGTTATGATTGTGTTTAAAAGTTTTTATTTTATTTTATTTGTTTATTTTTATTTACCTTCTTCATCAGTATTATTTATTTACTTCTTATATTTATATTAATTTCTTTATTATTTGTATATATTGTATGAATGAGAACTTTTAGCCCTAATGCTTATAGCCCTCCAGCAGTGGCTGATTGTATTATTATTCAATAAATAGATTTAAAAAAAAAAAAAAAATCTATGAGTACTCAAAAAGGGAAGTTTTTAGATCTTAATTATTTAATGTTTCTATCAATTGTATTTTTATTTTTGCAGCATTATATACAGGAAGCTTAAACGATGAGCTCGGAAAATACTTTGATTCAAAAAGTCTTTCTGAGCCGAGCCTCAACAAAGAACCTTGCAGTGAGGCCATTGGTAAAGGTTACCGCTTAATTAGTTCAGGCGTAGGCACAGCAGGACCTTCCCTCCTCAACTCGCTGGTGGACTCCAATTTCAGCAACAGCTTTTCAGTTCAAGAATTGGCTGACTTTTTGATAGGTATTCCATCAAGTTAGCAAATCCTCAAACTCTTATGAACATATTTTTATTCATTTTATAAAATTCCTTTTAGAACCTTTCAGCATTACTTTTGAATGGCCCAACGATAAGGTTCATGAATATAATATAGTCAGTTTATTCATTTTGCTTCTAAACGTTCTGAGTAAAATAACCCTATAACATCCCCGAGGGTTATGTTTGAGGAAAAGCATATCAATCATCAATCTAAAATTCACGAGTGCTGAGTCTAACTCCCTCTATAAACAGGGGTGTTATCTATGTAAACCTATGTTTTGTGTTATTTTTAATTACAATTTATATTATAAAAACAATTTAAATACAAATACATAAATTTGTAAATTTAAATTAAGGTACTAGTTTCAAATAGCTTCTTCAAGATGTTTGTTGTTTAAAAGTAACTTCGAGCTCACTGTAAATGAAAATCCGAGGAATGCTAAAATTATTCAAGCTTAGTTTTCCTACAATGCACAGGAAGCGATTTACTGAGGAATCAGGTTGATGGACATTACACTTAAAAACTATTATTTTACTTTCATTTACTCATATATGCAATGTGGAAGGCAATATATTGAGTTTCTCTGTTCCATAGCAAATAAGCCTATATTTTAGGAGGTTATCCACAAGTTTTTTTCCTAATTTAAAACATTAAAATTAATTCATAAAAATGACATGGAAACGGTACAAAATAATATTTTTTGATTTACTTGTAAAATTTTCAATTTGAGGGTTTTGCGCCGAGACTCAATCACTGTCAGTGTGAACTATATTATTTTATTTTTTATAAAATACAAAGACAAAATAATGTGAGCTATATTTTATTTTTTATAAAATGCAAAGAAAAAATAATGTGAGAGCTATATGTTGAGTTGAAATGAGGAGGGGTATGAATGAAAATGTCATTTAGAAAGGATTTCAGAAGAGTGGGACTGGTATAGAAGTAGGGGATACAATATTTATCGGAGAGAATGGAAGAAAACTTGAAGTGATAGGGATATTAAACAAAGTATCGTAAAAGTTCAAATTAATTTCAGGATGGCCGATGTGCCAGCAACAGTAAATAAACCGAATACATTTAAACTTGTCACTTCCTTATATTTTAACTAATATTGTAACAAATAAAAAAAAAAAAAAAAATTTATGTTTTTTTAGGCAAAGAGGAACTGTCTTGGCCCCTTCCTTCCGGTGTTGTTGTCAGTGTCACAGACAAGGATGATAACTATGTTTCCATTGTAAGGTATAAGATTAGCATTAAATTTTTTTTTCTTTAGCATTTATGCCTCTTCTATCACTGATAATATTATGTTTAATTCAATTAGGACTTATAATTTAAATCAGAGAGAGAGAGAGAGCACTGTTCTCTTGGGATGTTGGAAAATATGAGATATTTAAAAAAAAAATTAAAATGATAACAAGGAAAGCCTTCTCACTGGTTTTCACATTCAAAAAAGAGATTATTTTTAAACACACTATATGAGAAATATTGGTTTGATTAATTTTTCTATATCTTACAAGATGGGAGGGGTAACGGATGTTGGGTTTCCGATTTCAATGAAATTTTTTTTTGGTAATACTAGGTCACAAATATTAGACCAATTTCTGAGGCTTGTTATTATTATTCACTACCTTTGCCCACATGGATTTCTAAGTTATAATATATTAATTAATTTGTTTTGTTTTTCCTGTTAAATAAAAAAAACATATGGCTGTGATTGTATTTAACAAATTCAAATCTACAATTAATGACTAAAACTAAAGATCCATATAGGCCAATCAAATGTTTGTCATGAAAAAGCCATTCAGAATCTTGTCTAACTTTCTTTAAGACTCATACATACAAATTGGTTTTAAAATAAAAATATATAAATTTGAGTATTATTATTGGAGGATTTTTGGTTTTCTACCATACCACTTAACCGAATTATTAGGTTTAGCTACTTCTTCGATGCAAAATTTAATTTTCTTTAATTTCTTAAAGAATAATTTTTTGCTTTGATGCATTGTTTAGAAGTTATAGATAAAAAAATAAAAAAGATCGAAAAAAAATCTGAGTTTTTGGGCTGTTAAAAGATTTCCCTTAGTGACCCGAGTTAGCAATTTTGTTTTTTACTCTGTCTAACCCATATATACAAGTTAAAAAATAAAAACTTTTCCAACATTTTTCACAGTGAATTTCCTGTTTCGATCCTCAAGTTACTGGCCTAATATTCTTTAAATCAGCCGCCATTTTTGAGAACAGCTCTGGAACAGTTCATTTTACTTAGAATAACATACACTTTCATTAATTTATAATCAATTATTCGCCTGCGAACAGATCAATTTTTGGGCCCTGGCTCCAGGGCTTTATCCCCTTAGAATTTTCTTCTAATTTGGAAATAATAAACTATTGTGAAATCATTTGTAGCATTTTTTTTTTTAAATGTATTTGTTCACAATAAAAGAAGAGATTAGCTGCTAAAATTTCATTGTGATCACAGCAATATAATATAACATCTTTGTAAATTTTTATGTAACTAATTATATTATTTTAAGTATATATAGGTAAATTAATATTAATCATTTCAGTGGACTAGGGCCAGTTCTTGGATCTCAAAATCTTCTAAAAGATGGTTATATAGTTGGATCACTATTGCATCGATCTAATCTTTCTAGAATTAATTCATTTGGAGCACCATTTATTGCTACAACACTGCAGCATAAATGTGAAAAACGTATTGTAACAGGTATCTAAACATACATTAGTTATTTTCTTTTTTGAATTAAATATACAATATGCCTATATTTATTAAACTTCTAGATTCCTTGAAAAATTTTTTTTAAAAATAATCTTGAGGAACTGAGAGTAATCAAAAAAGCTCAAAATGATTTAGAAAATTAAAAATTTAACATGAATTGGAAATAAAAAATATATATTTATTTTTTTGTCTATTATTGAAGGATTTTTTAATATATTTTTTACTATTTTAATTTTTTTTTTTATGACCGCCACTCTGGATCATCTCTTTTTTCAATAATGTATTATGGTAAGCTATTGAGGATTCCATTAAAAAATAATCATTTGAGTGGCTACATACCAAAGACATCTATCATTTTCAGAAAGTGGGGGAGAAGTCAATTTTTGATTTATAGGTTTAACTCAAACCACTAACGGATCCAGGGTTTAATTTTGGAGGGGCTTCAGCCTGAAAGATTTTTTTTTTGTACGTATATATTAGGATAATTACTTCGGAAGAAAGAAAGAAACTACTAACTACCTAAATGAAATGGTGTTTAACTGATTCTTTTAAGTCCTATTAAAGGTAATTAGACAAACAATAATACTTTTAGAGATAATTTTTTTCATAAAACATGGTTATATTTTACCATTTTGGGGAAAGGGTTCTAAGGGGGGAAGGGAACATTACAATTGGACTAAATTGAAGCTATGTTACAAAAATTGGCTATTTTTCAACTTTTTATAAATCAATGATGTCCGTCTTTGATATGAGGATACTCAAATGATGTATTAAGTGTATAATATTTGAGTGGATGGGAAAGTAATGTTGTTTTGGCGCATGTCACTATTTGATTGTCATTTGTCAGCTGATTGTGTACATCTAAGTTGCGGCAAGGACATTATAACGTTATAGTGACTTGTTTATTTGTAAATAATTAAAGTAATATGGCCAGCCTAACATCTGAAGTGGTACATATTCAGCATAGCATTCTTTTTTTTTTTTTTTTTTTTTTTTAACACAACAGTTGCTACCAAAAACATTTGCAATTTTTATCCAAACGCATTAGACATTCATAAATGCCAAAGATGATTTTCCAAGTTCAAATCCGGTAATTTTGATCTTTCCAACTCGTACCGATCAGGAAGACCAACAATACTAATCAATGACGCATTAAGGGCAGTAGTCAAAGAAAACCCATGTCAGACAATCGAGGAATTGTCAGGCATAACCACCCCTGGTCGACAATCCAAGAACAATAGCAGCAGATACTTCAACAGTGTAATACAGAAGCGGTTTTTGATCGCTTGATCACTGGAAATGAAAAATGGGTCCTATATGATAATTCAAAGCGCAAAAACCGTGACTTTATCCAAATGAATCACCATGAAGTACTGCTAAGCCAGGTTTACATTCCAAAAAGCCCCTTTTTAGTATTTGGTGGCATATTAGCAGCATTGTTCATTTTGAAGTACTGAAACCTGAACAAACTGAATGTAGACCTTTAATGTTTAAAAATTGGATCATGAGAGGTCTCCAAACTTTTGGTACACAGGTCACATTGAGATCTCCATCATAGTCTCCCGGGTCATGGCTAGTGATGAAAAAAAAAAAAAACATCTTTTTTTATAAATGCTGCTTCAGCTGTGAAATGAGCTTTCTAAGAGCAAAAACTCATGCAATTGTATAACTTTGTGTGTGAGTAATATGTTAAATTTCATACTTTTAAATAGTTTTTCAAATTTTAGAATCTTATCAAAGAAATTTTTGCGGGTTTGATGAAGGTGCTTGTGGGTAGTATGGAGACCTCTGGTGTAAATCAATCTTTAATAGAAAAGATGATAGCGATTGTCAACAGAAAAGGCGTTATTCTGCAAGATAAACCCTGGAAAAAATTAATGAATTGGGGTGGGAGATACTGCCTAACCCACCATACTCGTGGTGTTGCACCATCGGATTTACATTTATTCCGATCGCTTCAACATTTTCTATGAGGCAAAAGATTTGCAAATTTGGATGATATTCAAAATGCCATCTCTATATATTTGGCTCAAAAACCAATTGATTTTTATCGATCTGGTTTTGAAAATTTGCACACTAGATGGCAAAAGATTGTTGATAATGAGGGTTATTACATCATTGATTAAAAATTAAAACTTATTAAAAATCTATTTGTTTGAATTTAATGTTAGAAAACATCATTCCTTTCGGTTCCCTTAATACTTAGAACAAAGAATTGACCTTTTCAATATTTCCCTTTTTATTTTCAGGCATAAACACCATACGATAATTAGGAATATATACAAACAATGTTAGGTTAGGCAGAACCTCCTATAACACCTTATACATTACAAAAAGGTACTAACTATAGATGAAAGGTGATATAAAATTATATAAATAAGGTGTTTTTCTTTAAAATAAAAAGTCAATTTAGGTTTACTTCCTTCAGTTGGTTAATAAGTCTATTGATTTATTATTTGTGTTTTTAAGGTGGAGTAGACCTGCGAGATATGCTACAGGTTTTACCAAAGATACTATGGGGTTCTGAAGGTGTAGTGAACAGTGTGGAAGCAGCCAGAGTTCGGATCACAGAAAACAGTCTTTTGGCTGAAATTAATCATCCTCCAGTTTTGCCATTTTCACTCCCTCCGGCATCAATGCCCTATCCTGTTATAAATGTGATTCAAAAAAGAGGGGATGAAGTTCTAGCCTATGATGATTCCAGGAGTCTATAACGTAATACTTTCTTAAATGGAAGAACCAATTTAATGGCAACAAAATACTGTTATTCTTATTTTTTTAAATTATATAACATTATTTATACATAACTTGTGGATGTTGTTATAAACTTGTTATTGTGTATTTATATTAAAATTGTATAACTGTGATACCTAAATAGAAATAATATCAAGTTAGCATTTCAAGCCATTTATTGATTATCGATATTAATGTGCATAATAGAACAACCTGCATTTTATTTTTTAATTTATTTTTTTGAAAATACAAGCTAATGATGATTATATATTTGTTGTTGAACTGAATTTCATTCTGTCAATTACAACATACCTTAATTATTCCAGTTTTTTAAAAAATAATTGTACGAAAGTTCAGGACTCATAAAACTTTTTTAATATATATAGAACCTTCTTATTAATTGCTAGTCCAAAGAGATCTAAGAAAATTTCTAAATTTATATACACCTATTAAAGATTATATATAGCCCAGTAACTTTGCCATGAAAAGGGGTCTAAGTTGCATCAAATGGGGGTAGGTTTGCATCTCAGTCATATCCATACAAGGAAATAAAAATAAACCTTCTATCCCAACTCAATATAACTTACAATGTACAAAGTTACTGGGCTAATAGTTTTAAAACTTATTTATAAAAATAGATGTTCTCAATTCATCAAAAATTAACAAATAATAATAATGGAAAATATATTTTTCATTAAATTAATCCCAACTTTAAATGTATGATGGAATGGAGAGGGCTTTAAAAATAAAAATAATATACTAACAATAATGAGTAATAGGCTTTAATTATTATAAAAACGGGTGTCAAAATCTTAAGGATAAGTATTTAAAAAACACTATTATAAAAAAGAATAAAATGAGAAAGAGGTCCTGAAATGGATGAAACTAAAACACTGACCACTGGAGATTCTAAGAAGAAATTTTTAAGAGGTAAATTATATTTCGAAATAAATAAATGGTTACTAATAATCATTCATCCCTAAAATTAACCCACCTCTCAGGTTGACAAAGATTTCACGATGAACTATCAGGGGGAATATCCACATGTAGATCCTCAGGTACTTCCTCTGTGGTCTGTTTGAAGGTAACCTTGCCAAGGCCATAGCCCACCTGCATGTTTTGTGTCTTCAGACTCTTGAGGCTGGTTTCTGAGATTCCCAAAGTAGCAAAGAACCCTTTTTCCATTTGCTTCATGAAGTGAAGGCTCCAACTGCGAACACCCTCTATTTTCGGGTTCTGCACCCTTAGCCTCTTCAATAGAGCTTCCTCAGTCATTTTCTTGCCAGGGAAGAATGAACTTACTTTCATGATTTTGACAAGCTCCTCTTCAACACCGGCGCGAAGAGTGATACCCTTCCCAATGATAATGTCAGGAATGACTTTTGACAGCCATGTCTTGGAGGCTTCATTGTCACAAGACAGGATGCAACCACCCATTTTAAAACTGATGCCATTGAATAATGGATGGTCATCTCTAGTCTCATCGATATCATCCAATTTGTCGGTAATCATTTCTTTGAGTACTTCACACTGCTCGTGGGACAGCTGGGTCAGCGGATAGTTGCTAGGCACTATCGCGACTCTATATCCACTGTCAGCCTCGGTATGGGTTTTTGATATACCAACTATTACTTTGGGTTTTTTCGCAATAGATCCAGAAGACCCAGGAGAGTTTCTAGGTCTTTTTCCCTCCTCATGTCCTGTCTTATCGAGCTGCCTTTTGGGTTCTACACCCTTGGTTGTCGATCTTGCAGACCTTCGGAGCGGGCTAGTTGTATCTATGACCCGTCCTTGCTTTGATGCCTTCTTTTTAGGCTTCCTAGTCTTTTTTGCTGATTCTGTATGATGAGACACTATATGTCTTTTTAAATCTCTTAATCTGACAGACCTATAGTCACAATGAGAACACTGGAAAGGTTTCTCACCAGTATGATGGATCATAATATGTCTTTTTAGATCATATGGGTGTAATGTTTTATAGTTACAATGAAAACAATGATGAGGTTTCTCACCAGTATGATGAGCCATAATGTGTTTTTTCAATGTAAAATATTGTATTGTTTTATAATCACAATAAGAACACTTATGAGGCTTCTCTCCAGTATGATGGGCCATTACATGTCTTTTTACATTGGTTATCCTTACAGTTTTAAAATCACAATGAGGACATTCATAAGGCTTTTCATCAGTATGGCGGGATGTTATATGTGTTTTTAAATTACTTGTTTTTAACGATTTATAGTCACAATGAGGACATTCACGATAGTTCTCACCTATATGACGGGTCTTAATATTTCTTTTAAAGCGATTTGGATATCTAGTTTTATAACCCATGTCTTGAGATATAACATTTTCCTTTGACTCCAAATTGGCTTCCAATGCAGAAAAGCTGGCCTCTTTCTTCTCATCAAGGGAATCTTCAGAACCTACAAACAAAGAGAGCCGATTTAAGAAATATTTTTGTGCATAAGTGAATGAATTCAGATTATGTTAATGTACTAGGAGATTCTAATAATGTTAGGTGATTTGTAATTGATGATCTGAAGGTCATTTATCGAAATTCTTAGTCATTCATTTGTAGAAAAAATATATATTTCATTGGAAATGCAGGGACTTAAGATGACAAAGCGTATTCGTTAATAGCCCCTTGCTCAGGAAAATCCTTAAAGATAAATAAAACAGTCAGCATTCTCTTCCCCTTCTTGCATAATAGTCAACAACAAAAACTGTTGAGGTAATCATCAATAATAATCCATATAATTCTCCAAATGAATTTTTAAATACAAAAATTTAGATTAAGATTGCAGAGTAAATAATAATAATAATAATAAGGCTTAGCGAACCCGAAGGTTCGATGCCGACACCACCAATCGCTTGTTACACACCTCCTTCCACCGTTCGCCGTCCAAACCCAGTCCCTTCAGATCGGCTTTAATGCAATCTTCCCACCTTCGCTTCGGTCTACCCCTCGGACGCTTACCATTCGGCACAGCAAATATTAACCTTTTAGGAATTCTCTCCTTACCAAGCCCAACAACTTTACAAGCCCATTTGATTCGACGCGATGAAATTACATCAATTATATTACCCGGATACAGCTCACGCAATTCGGCGTTGTGTAACCGTCTGAACTCTCCGGTTAACTCATCCTTCTTCGGTCCGAATATTCTACGTAATACTTTATTTTCAAAAACCTTAAGACGCTGCTCATCCCTTAATGTAAGCGGCCAAGTTTCGCATCCATAAAGAACTGTAGGTAAGATAATTGTTTTATAGATTCTAATTTTTAAGTTCCGGGACAAGAGGCGCGAACTGAGTAGTTTTGTCACAGAAAAATAACAAGCATTCCCTGCCTTCAGTCTAACCTTAATCTCTTCTTCAATTTCCTTTTTTCTAGTTATCGTAGAACCTAGATACCTAAATTTATCTACCTGTTCAAACATATTACCATCTATATCGATATCACCAGTAGTATCGCCATTTTTGCAGCTAACCATATATTTTGTTTTATCCACGTTTATTTCGAGTCCTAGTTCTTTCCCGGCTTTCATTAACGTTGTCGTATTTAGTTTTATAGTTTCAACGTCTTCGCTTAACAGTACCAGATCATCAGCATAGCCCAGCACGGATGTTGTCCCGCCCAGATCCAACCCTTTCTCGGTTCGCATTACCTCCCTAATGGCATGTTCTAATGCCAAATTGAACAGGACAGGCGAAAGAGAATCCCCCTGTTTTAAGCCCGAACGAACCTCAAATTTTTCGGACAAATTATTACCGATTCTAACTTTATTGAGTGTCTCCGTCAAGCACATCCTGACTAGATTTACTAGTTTTTTTGGAATCCCCTGCTCGATTAGAATATTATACAGTTTCTGGCGGTCAATAGAATCGTAAGCCTTTTTAAAATCTATATACAGCTGGTGAACAATACCGTTATACTCCAATTTTTTCTCTAATATTTGCCGTAAAGAAAATATTTGATCAATAGTCGAGCGATTCCGTCTAAATCCGCATTGGTAGTCTCCGATAATTTCCTCGGCGTATTCCGTGATTCGACTGGTTAAGATTAAAGTGAATATTTTATAACATACCGGAAGGAGTGAAATTCCTCGATAGTTATTACAATCCGTCCTCGGACCCTTTTTGTGAATCGGAATAAGAATAGATTCTTTCCATTCTTCAGGTAATTTCTCGTTCACCCAGATCTTTTTAACCAACCGATGTATTTTAGAAACTCCAGCTTCTCCGCATGCCTTAATTAGTTCAGTAGGAATATTATCGATTCCCGCTGCTTTATATGATTTTAATTTTCCGATAGCTACCTCAACTTCCTCTTTACTTGGTCCTTCTATTAACGGTTCAGCACTCTGGTACTCAGAAGGAGGACACAGATCATAATTTCCCGTATTTAAAATATTGTCAAAGTGGTCCTTAAACTTATTCAATATGTCAGCCGGATCGGTCAGAATATTGTTATTATCATCCCTAATTCCAGACGTTACGGGCCTTACATATTTACGTGATCTGTTTATACCTTTGTACATGTCTCTTACGTTATTTTCGATTCTATTAGTTTCTATTTCAATTATTTTATTTTTAAGATACTCCCTTTTTTTATTTTTGAGCAATTTTGTCGTTTCGTTCTTTGAGATTCGGAAGTATTCCAGATTGTCTTCGCTAGGATTATTTAGAGCTTTTAATTTAGCGGCTTTTCTTTTTTCACACATGTTTAAGCAATCTTCATCAAACCACGGTTTGTTATTCTTATTTTCTTTTTTTCCTAGACACGAGTTACCGACCGCTTTAATATTATCTCTGATCTCTATCCATAACTTGTCAATATCCTCGTGGTCCTCGTCAGGAAGCTCTAAAGCTTCAAACCTATTCTTAACATCTAGCTCGAATTGGTTTCTAATTGATGGATTTTTTAATTTTTCCAAATTAAAATTCTCAAAATCGAAACGGTTTTCTTTTCTCTTTTTTATATTAAGTTTTTGTCGAAGTTTCGCGATTACTAATTCATGGTCCGACCCACATTCTGCTCCGCGATAAGACCGTACATTAATTATACTGCTTTGCCAGCTGTGTTGTATCAAGACATGATCGATTTGATTTCGTGTTTGCGAATCCGGTGATGTCCAAGTATATTTATGAATATCCTTATGTTTAAACGTCGTACTTTTAATTATCAGGTTTTTCGAGATGGCAAAGTTTATCAGACGGATCCCA